ATCCCTCATCATTACAAGGTCCCGTATTATTATAGCGTAAGAAATTGGATCATCAGTGCCGGACGAAGTCGGAAGTCTAAATCCTGTAACGGTTATTAGGGCGACCGGGTGTTAAAGACGGAATCAGAAGCTTTATAAGATCTAGAGAGGTGAGACTATCTCATTCTATCGTATTGCGGGCTGATTAAGCCGAGAATATAATGTTATTGGTATTAAAATGAGAATTAAGGAATTAATAATTGAGGAAGTATAAAAAATAACTGTAATCTGTGGCTTTTCGTGTCCTTTCCCCATCTTCCACTGTGTCTGTGTGGTGACAGATTAAAAATACGGGATGACACCACCACTATTATTCCCGTCGATGTCGTAAGAGCCTACTAAGGGAGTAAACTACGCAGGAAAACAGCACTGTGGAGAGAACGAAAACTTGACACAAACCCGTCTGGTCAACGTGATATAGTAGGCCTACCCCCTTTCTAAGGAGAGGCCTGTGTCCAGTAGTAGAATAATAAAGGCACAATACTATAGTAATACTATAGTATTGTGCCTTTAATAGTATTATAGCCATTATAAGGAGTATATTAGAGGAAACCTGTCCAACCAGTGGACGAAGAGTAGACGATGAATAAAGGAAAGGACTGCGTGAAAGAGGATATGGCTAGGAATGGAAGGAAAAAACTCATTGCGCCGACCCAAAATAAATTTGGGAAAGAGTAAGATAAAGATGATGATAATTTGGAGGTTGTATCGGTCCGGAAATACCGCTGGTGACATTTTGTTCAATAGATTGGTTCTGTGAGGCTAACATTTCGTTGAAAGTGCATAATGGTAGAGTGCTAATTATCCAAGTAATAGGGATGGATGTTGTGCCACGTTGAACAATGACAGAAAGTTGCCGGAGACGACGGAGATGTTCGAACCCATTACTACGCCGTCCGTGCTGTTAGCAGCAATTAGACGTAGTGTTGTTTAATTGTTGTAACAATTCTACTCAACACAGCATTCTTGTCTTCATTTAAAATGCACGTGAACACTCTACGCTCTGTTGTTTTTGCGTCAGCGTGAGCATTCTCGGCACCCATCTTGCACTGACCTTTGTCATGCCAAAATGATCGTGCAGAATTTTAAAAATGGTTGTATCAGATACTCCAACCATTTCTGCGAGTTGTTTCTTCTTTAGTCGAGCATCGTCGAGTACAATTTTTTCGACTTTTGGATAAGTTCTGGCGTGATCACCTCGATGCTCCTGCCCGGCCGGGCCGTCTTCAAGGGATTCCCTTCCTTGTTTAAATAAACTGTGCCATTTGTACACCATGGTTTTTCCTGGACAAGAGTCGCCGTAAACCAATGACATCTCATTCATTATGGTCGCAACTGATTTTCCTTGCTTGGTAAGGAACTTCATAACGGCACGATATTCGATTTTTTCCATGTTTCACTTTTCACTCCCGATTATGTTGCTTGGTTGACGATAACTCAATGACTAATTGTTTAATAACAATGAAACCTGGTGTTTATAATAATTATGAGTCACTCAACACGTGACGATTCTAATGAGCCTAATCACCCCCCTCCAACCCTCTCATTCCGCGAACTTAAAAACGCACCCTCGTATTAGCAGTCTAAATTTTTTGTAGATATCCGACTACGATTACAAAAAGTAGGCGTATTCCTAAATTAGAGAAAATAATCCTTTACATTAAATGAATCAATAAACTGGCTGTCCTGGTCGTGGAGGATTCAAAATATTTATTTATCCTGAGTGGGAATCGAGCTCACGAACCCTGACTATGACTAAATAGTGAATCATACAAAATAAAAACTTATAATACTTTCATATCACAATCCATTTTTAATTTGCCTCTTATATATACGAAAGTAATCCGAGAATAGCTAGCCATGATATTACTGATGTTCACCCCTATGAATAATTCACGAGCTCTGTAAACCCAACTGTATTCATGAGCACACCAGCCCCGTTGTATTGCGAGTACTATCATCCCCTCTCTGTCCCTCCACCCTTAATATTTTATGTTCCGAACACTTTAGGTATTATAAATATATGTGTATGATATGCAATCTTATTGGAGTTTGAGTTGAAACTGAGATTGGACTTTGAAGGGATTATATTTAGTAATACGGGTTTAGGATTATTGAATGAAAATGAAATTGTACATGTAGAATGCGCTCAATGCTTTCAACTTTCTGGACTATGTAATATATTTTTTGTTAATGGAAGAGGGGGCAAACGAGCAGACGGGTCACCTAATGGAAAGTGAGCACCGCCGCCAATGAACGTCTGCAACTCAGGAGTCACAAGCGCGTTGCCGGCCGGAAGGAGTACGCTCTTTTCTTGAAGGTTTGAAGGTCGTATCGGTCCGGAAATACTTAAAGACCCTATTAACTAAGTTTACAATAGCCACTCTCTAAGTACCTCTATGACCCATTTTCCCCAAATGTCATTGTGATTATTTATGTATAAGCTGTAAAGTTATGAATCTACAACTAGTTTGATGGTTTTGGATAGCAACAAACTGTTGTAAAGATTTAGTTGTGTTTGTTTAGGATACAATGCTAAGGAATAAACAGTGGCGGTTTGATTTAAATTAGTAACGGGGTCAATTTGTTTGAATTTCTGTTGTCACTGAACCCTTGTTCAATATAAATACAAATCCATACTTATCCATACTTATATTATATGGTAATCTATTTAATGGTAAGTCGAATTCACGAGTAAATAAAAGCTTCAGTATCTACCTTCCAGCTTCATCATCAAACACCAAGCTCAATCTGTGAGACTGTGTCGGTCGTGGGTTCGATTCCCACCCAGGACAAATATTGTGTGATGAGCACGATCATTTGTTCTGTGTCTGGGTGTAATTTATCTATAATATGTATGTATTTAAAAATATATAAGTATGTTTATCAGCAGTCTGGTTACCATAGCACAGGCTCTGCCTAGTTTGGGATCAGACGGTCGTGTGTGAGATGTGTGAGGTATATTATATATTATATATAATTTAAATGCACGGATGGCATAGTGGTTTAAGCGGTCACCCCGCTGCTTCCTACTACGCCGAGTGTTCAAACCCCACATGGGACGACACTTTGTGTGATCCGCGACACAAGATATATTCCAAATGCGGGATTTGTCTTTAAAAAAAAAACTGGCGAAATTTAAATAATTTAATTTGACGGGCCTCTTGGTCTAGTGGTTAGTGGCCCTGACTGCTAAGCCGGAGGTCGTGGGTTCGATTCCCACAAATATTGTGTAATATGCACGGTCATTTGTTCTGTGTCTGATTGTAATTTGTCTATAATATGTATGTATTTCAAAATATATAAGTATATTTATCAGCAGTCGGGTTACCATAGTACTGGCTCTGCCTAGTTTGGGATCAGACGAAAAAAATAAATAAGAGAAAATTTACGCATTTATCTCTTTACGCTTCCTAGTCCATAACAATCCGATTACTATCAGTGACAATAATCATGCGTTAAAAGAAGCATTCACTGCGAAATTTTTAGATTTGGTCTTTGTTAAATTGGAAAGAACATGTAGCTCAACTATGCAAAATAATCAGTATTTCTGCATAAGCACTGTACAAATTGTTGGGAATTGTTGGAAATTATTGACTCAGAAACGTTGCGTTTGAGCCCTGTTTGGTCTGCAATCGACTGATAGTTGTAGCCCGTATTTTGTCCGGTATGGCGAACAGATGCTTCCTGCACTATACATACCGGAGGTGGCTTCAATCGTACACAAAAATCCTGACCTATTTCAGTGCCTATCTGACGTTGTGCTTACACAGCGCTAAAACAAGGATGATGAGTAAAAGTTTGCTATGTATTGCGCCAAAAATTTATAATAAACTGCCGCTGCTGCTAATAAAATGTAGGATACATTAAAAAAAATAGTATTGACTTATTAAAAAATAAATTAAAAAATATTTCTTGATTGCGAAATGTTATTATAGTGTTACTGACTTTATGAATGACAGAATTGTATAAAAGGAAATAATGGTTTTGACATGAAATTGCTGACATTTGTTGGTTTAAATTTATTGTATCATAAATTGACTACGCAAATTTAACATACCTATATTTTTCTTTGATTATGTATTATTGTAAAAACTAAAAAAAACTTGCATGACTTGAGGTAGAATGTTTCTGCTCATTGTTATACCTTTATTAACACCTTATGTATACCCATGTTCGCAAAATAAATTATTTGATTTGATAACCTCCATTCGAGAACTTTTCTCAGTTTCGCCGGAAATAGTTATTTCTTTCAGCCTTTGCGCTGTCTGCCTTGCCCATCGCCAGTTCATTTTGCTGATTCACTTCCGTATGTCGAACAGTTGAATGTCACTTATAATTAGACCCCGTAGGTATCACAATAGGAGCTTTGCAAAGCTACGCAAAAAGGATACGATCGATTATAATTTGTCTCAAAAGCGCTGTTCAGAGAAATGAAATTCACTAGTGTATTGTTGACTTAATTGGAAGTCTGCAGAATTCGTTTTTTTTTGTTATAAATAGAGAAACCTTTATATTTTTGTAATCTAATAGAGCTACGTGATTGTTCTAACATCGCAGACTATGTTATTTGTGCTTAGTTGCGGCCATTATCTCTTTATATGTATTTTAGATCAATTTAATTGTAGTAAAATATTGATTCAAATTTTTCTATCGTTATTCTATCGTAACCAGATTCCTCACTGATCAGCAAATGTACGCGAACTCAGGAAATAAGTCTTGTTTCGTATAATTCTTGCATTTGATTATGCTGTCTCGTTTGTAAAAGTTTTACAATAATATTATCAGCACTAAGTAAATCGTGTATTTTATGAATGAATGTCCAATTATTTATAATAAATACAAATAAATAACATTAAAGTGTCACATCAAATTATTCAGATTTTTTTATGCCCGTCGTTTTAACTCCCGCTTTAAGTCCCGATACTCATACATATTTTCTTTGGCACAGAAGCAGCAGCATGATCGATCCAAGCTCATCCGAGGAAGACAGTGATGATGAACACAAGAAACAACCATCGAAATTACCAGGTGAATTAAAAATCATTTTCTTAGTCATAAGATTAAGTAAAAGTAGGTACTATAGAATCGGTATATAATTTACTTATGTGTGACTATGTCACACACACTTTCAACATTAACTACCTACATAAATTATTTTGTATTTAAAACAAGTTATTAGAAGTTGTATAAAAATACGCTCAAGAATTCTCATGAAATAGTCACATTCCAGTTTTGCACAACCAGACTCTGCAATGAAGAACATTTTATCGGTATACGTTATATCAGTATACGGTATAATACACATATATATTAAAACAAATGCAAATAGACTAGTAAAGTTTTACATCTTATAATAAAAACAAAGAAAAAGCAATTTATTCGTAAACGAAAATTCTTGTGTTGGGTTTTTAGAAAAACGAAATCCAGTCCATGTGGTGACGGATTAAGAATACCTAGTGTCACCACCAATATTTATCCCGTGGGTGTCGTAAGAGGCGACTAAGGGAGCAAACTACGCAGGACAACAGCACTGCACAGAGAAGGAAAACTTGACACAAACCCTATACCAACCCTTCTGGCCAGCGTGGTATAGTAGGCCAAAACCTCCTTTCTAAGGAGAGGCCTATGTCCAGCAGTAGACTATTAAAGGCTCTTGATGATAATGATGAAATCCAGATTACGAATTACCTAAATAGGTCTTAAAATACCAAAGTTCTACAGTTCTCCAATTTATATCTAAATCAATTGCATGTAAAACTCCTGAAATTTAAATCCGTTACCTTAACACTTTACGATAAAGAAGGATATAACAACAGCTAGTTGTTCAAAACATTTGATCGCTTGGATACTAAACTTACTCCCAAGAATAACTTTTAACACGCAAACTTTTAGCAAAACAACTTTTTTTACTTTCCCCTTATTCTCGCCCCATCAAAACTTGAAACTTCCACTATGTCTAGTTTCATCTTAGTCTAATATTAAGATGTCTTTCAACAACAGTGGTACCACCTGGTTCCCTGGCTGGTGGTAGACCATCAGTACGAGGGAAACCTGAACTACCTCGAGGGTCCACAGCTGGTCTTCCAGGTAAATACTCTTTTAGGGTTTTGAATTCTGTAAAGCTTTATAGTTTCAGATTTTTTTAACAAAAAATAACGATCGCTTCTTAACTGTTAGACGAACAACTGAAAAAATATATCATAAAATAATATGCGTACTTAACAAAAATATTTTATATTATCTTAAGGTTCTCAGAATGAGATTGATAAAAAATAAATTCATTTATTATAAGTCTCGAGTTCTCGACGTCTTTCGTGACACTAAAGCACAATATAAACATCAAAGTGATTTATGACTTGGTTTTCAGAAATTTTTGAAATAAATTGTGAAATAACAATTTCTAACACGCTGACTTAGATCAAACAGTAGGTAATGTACAATATATAAGTTTTTATTACTTAAGTTAGTTTAAACTCTGTAGACCTATCTTTTATTAAAGATGAAAGGTGAAATTTAAATGAATGTTTTCACTCAGGTGTAAGTTCATTAACAACAGCACCTTTGGCAGCACCTTTACATCCAGCTACAAGACAAAGAGAATCATCTGCCTTGGCTCCACCGCCTCATGCGTAAGTACTCCTGCCGAAAACTGATGTTAGACTCTCACGTCCATTTCCATTCACGATACATTGTAGATTACATGCTACTTTAGATGTAGTACCTTTTACCTTTTCCTGACCTTTGCTCGTTTAGTAGACAAATATAGAAAATTTTCCTAAGTATTGAAGCATTTTTGTGGTTTATAATAGCAATCCCTAGTATTTTGGACCACTTACCCCACCGGGAAACATACGGTGGTTTTTTTTTTTTTTTTTTTTTTTTTTTTTTTTTTTTTTTTTTTTTTTTTTTTTTTTTTTTTTTTTTTTTTTTTTTTTTTTTTTTTTTTTTTTTTTTTTTTTTTTTTTTTTTTTTTTTTTTTTTTTTTTTTTTTTTTTTTAAATTCCCCCTGGCCAAGGGGTTAAAAACCCCCGTTTATTACACCCCCCCCCCCTCAACCCCCCCGGGGGGGCTCCCCCTTCCAGGGGGCCCAATTTCCCCCCCGGGCTTTAAAGGGGGGTACGGGCCCAAAAAATTAACCCAGCCCGGGGGGGCCCGGCTTGGGCGGGCCCCAACCCCCGCGCAACCATTTCCCCCGGGGCGGAGGGGGCCCGGGAAGGCCCCCCCGGGGAAATTCCCGCCGGAAGTCGCCACTCCCCGAAAAACTTCGGCGAGCACTTCCGCCTCCAAATCCCACGGGGGAGTTCCGGCCAACGCGCATGCCACCTCCGTAGAAACGGTGCGGTAACCGCGTATGGCTCTTGACCGCCATTACCCTCTGAGGGCGCAGAGGCGTACCCTATTCTGGGCGGTCAGAGCCGCCGCCCACACCGGTGCACCGTACAGCGCCATTGACCGGACAACCCCCGTGTACAGCCGTCTTGTCGCGACGCTGGGTCCACCCATATTGGGCAAGAGTCGCCCTAGGGCAGACGCCAGCGCCGACCAGCTTTGGAGCAAGCTGTCGGAAGTGCTCGTCGAAGAGCCACCTCCCGTCGAGGATCAGGCCCAGATATTTCATCTGGGCCCGAACCGGTACGAGGACCGAGTTGACACCACGATTGAGGCGCCAGGGGGTGGACCACGACGGGGCCCATTGGAATAACAGGGCCTCCGTCTTATCTAGGGCCACCCGTAAGCCCAGCGCCTCAATGCGCCCCGACCACCAGGGAGACTCCCCCCTGTGGCCAGGCGCGCCGCCTCTTGGAAGTTTGCCCCCCGGGCTGTCACGAGGGTATCGTCCTGCGTAACAGATTACACCCAGCCCGGGGGGGAAATCGGCACGAAGGGCCCAGTCGTACCCTATGTTCCACAAGAGGGGTCCAAGAACAGCCCCCTGTGGAACACCGCACGACATGGGCCGACACCTCCAATTACCTTCTCGGTCCTCGTACACGACGGTACGCTCCTCTAAATAGTCTGCCACTAGCCGCCTCAGGTACTTTGGCACCCCATGATAGTGGAGTGCTTCCCTGATGCAGCTGAATGGCAGACTATTGAATGCGTTGGCGATGTCTAATGACACCGCCAACAGCACGCCGCCACAGCTCACGGCCTCTTCGGTCACGGCCCTCAGGCGCAACACGGCGTCGACTGTCGAACGCCCCGCCCGAAAACCCAATTGGGCGTCCGCCAGATCGGGGCCCACCTCGCAGAGGTGCCGGACGATGCGGGCAGAAAGAACCCTCTCAAACCAATTTGCCCGCCTCGTCCAGCAGCACGATGGGCCTATAGGCCGCGACCGAATCGGCTGGCCGTCCCGGCTTTCCTCAATAGGACCAGCTTCCCGCTTTTTCCAGCACTCAGGGAAGTCGTACCGACGCCAAGCTAGCGTCGAAACACCTCCCCGAGGCGGTCTGCCATGTGGTTGAGGGCCAGGGCCAGCACTCGGGCCGGTACCCCCGTCTGGCCCAGGGGCGGTGTTTCTTGGAACGGATCCGTAGAACAGCCGCCCCTACCTCCGAATCCCGGACGGGCGGAACATTGTCCTCCCCATGCTGCCCCGTCGTCTCCGGCCAGGGAGGCCATCGACGGGGGAGTGTGTTTCCGCTCGTTGTGGGAAAAGGCCCTCAACCACTTCTCGCAGGAAGCTGGGCTGGAGAGTCTCCGTAAGGGGGGGGCCCGATGCGCGGAGCTTTTGTCGCACCGCGCGGTAAGGGCGACCCCAGGGGTCACGATTAAGACCCTCCAGCATCTCCTGTCTTTTTTCCTCTTTGGCGCGGCTAATGGCCAGCTTCAGAGTTTTCCGCGCCCGCCGGTACTCCTCATGAAGCCGGTCCTCCTCACCGTCTCCACGGTGGCGCCGCCGACTGCGTGTGTAGGACCTCCGGGCACGTGTACAGGCCGCACGGAGGTCCGCCAGCTCCTGGGACCACCAGTAGACCTCCTTCCTTGGAGGCCGACGACCTCGAACGCGGGGCATGGCCGCATCGCATACATGCGTAATCGCATCGCGAAAGCGGCCAGCCCCCACGTCGACCTCCTCGGTCGGAGCCTGAGGAGACAGCCACGAGTGAATTATGGCTGCCTCCTCTAGTAGGTCCCGGTTCAGCCTGGCAACAGCCCACCGCGGAAAGCGGGATAAACGCCGAACAAACCCTATACCAACCCTTCTGGCCAGCGTGGTATAGTAGGCCAAAACCTCCTTTCTAAGGAGAGGCCTATGTCCAGCAGTAGACTATTAAAGGCTCTTGATGATAATGATGAAATCCAGATTACGAATTACCTAAATAGGTCTTAAAATACCAAAGTTCTACAGTTCTCCAATTTATATCTAAATCAATTGCATGTAAAACTCCTGAAATTTAAATCCGTTACCTTAACACTTTACGATAAAGAAGGATATAACAACAGCTAGTTGTTCAAAACATTTGATCGCTTGGATACTAAACTTACTCCCAAGAATAACTTTTAACACGCAAACTTTTAGCAAAACAACTTTTTTTACTTTCCCCTTATTCTCGCCCCATCAAAACTTGAAACTTCCACTATGTCTAGTTTCATCTTAGTCTAATATTAAGATGTCTTTCAACAACAGTGGTACCACCTGGTTCCCTGGCTGGTGGTAGACCATCAGTACGAGGGAAACCTGAACTACCTCGAGGGTCCACAGCTGGTCTTCCAGGTAAATACTCTTTTAGGGTTTTGAATTCTGTAAAGCTTTATAGTTTCAGATTTTTTTAACAAAAAATAACGATCGCTTCTTAACTGTTAGACGAACAACTGAAAAAATATATCATAAAATAATATGCGTACTTAACAAAAATATTTTATATTATCTTAAGGTTCTCAGAATGAGATTGATAAAAAATAAATTCATTTATTATAAGTCTCGAGTTCTCGACGTCTTTCGTGACACTAAAGCACAATATAAACATCAAAGTGATTTATGACTTGGTTTTCAGAAATTTTTGAAATAAATTGTGAAATAACAATTTCTAACACGCTGACTTAGATCAAACAGTAGGTAATGTACAATATATAAGTTTTTATTACTTAAGTTAGTTTAAACTCTGTAGACCTATCTTTTATTAAAGATGAAAGGTGAAATTTAAATGAATGTTTTCACTCAGGTGTAAGTTCATTAACAACAGCACCTTTGGCAGCACCTTTACATCCAGCTACAAGACAAAGAGAATCATCTGCCTTGGCTCCACCGCCTCATGCGTAAGTACTCCTGCCGAAAACTGATGTTAGACTCTCACGTCCATTTCCATTCACGATACATTGTAGATTACATGCTACTTTAGATGTAGTACCTTTTACCTTTTCCTGACCTTTGCTCGTTTAGTAGACAAATATAGAAAATTTTCCTAAGTATTGAAGCATTTTTGTGGTTTATAATAGCAATCCCTAGTATTTTGGACCTTGATCAAACATAGCATCAGATTGTAATGAAGCTAATCGTTTATAGTATCAGACATAACCATAAGTCTAAATACACTGTTAACCATACATTTACTAAAAAAATATTCACATAAAAGAAAAAAGGAAAACAGTAGTTCTTATTCAAAGAAAAAGAAAAAGGAACAGTGTATGAAGATTTTTTTCATTTACATTGACGACTTAATGCTATCGATCGTGTAGATCTTTCCTGCGCAGGACGTCGACGGGGAGTGCAAGCTCTGGAGAAGCACCGGCGCCGTCACCTAGCCCTTCTGGTGCAAGCCATTCTGATAAAGACCAAGACCCCCAGGTGAGTTAGTTATGAACTCGTAAAAAAGTAATAACAGAACACAATACATAAAGTCAATATACCTATTACCCGGTAACAGGAAAATCATGTTTTAATGGTAGATTTTGTTCTAAGCCAGTAACCTTACTGCTGAGATTGAATTGTATTTTCTTTATTAATAGGAAAAGATCGAAAAACTTGAAGAGGACAAGAAACGACGTCTTCAGCTTTATGTGTTTGTATCTCGATGTGTTGCTCATCCCTTCAATGCAAAACAACCAACTGATATGACACGAAGACACACAAAGCTTACTCCCCACCAACTGGAGACAATACAGGCTCGGTTTCAGGTCATTACTCTTTTACCTTTTTTGCTAATCGTTTTTTATGTATTATAAACTCACACCAGATTATTTCATTCTACGAAAACAAATTTATAAACATTGATTCTTGTGCAGGCTTTCCTCAAAGGTGAAACCCAAATTTTGGCGGATGAGGCATTTCAAAATGCAGTACAGTCATACCACGACGTATTCTTAAAATCAGAACGTGTAGAACAAATGGTCAAGTCCGGTGCCTGCTCCCATCATGATTTTCGAGAAGTATTCCGGAATAATATCGAGAAGAGAGTCAGGTTTGGAATGTTAGAATTTCAGATGATGGATTTTCTATGTCATCATCATTAAAAATATCCGAAGCTACCTACATGTGAAAGTCTGCTGCATGATAAATATCCGCCCTGACCTGCATGACCACTATTCAGTTATGTGTAAAATTAAATTTCAAATTACTTTTGACTAAATGCATGTAAATGGTAACTTTTGGCTCATAAACTAAAAAACAGAAAATTTAAAAGATACAAAATAAATCTTAAATAACCGATTATTTTTAGTTACTTCCAATTCAATCCTAACCATGATCATGCAATTTTTTTTTATAAATTTTTTGGTAGACCAGCAACAAGGCCGCCTAACAACAATAAAGATTTTCTTACAGATCTCTCCCTGAAATAGATGGACTAAGTAAAGAGACCGTGTTATCATCATGGTTGGCAAAGTTCGATTGTATTATGAAAGGCACAGGTAAGAAAATAGATTATTTTAATTATTGTGGTGTGACATTTATTGAGAAGAGCGAAGTGAAGTTTTAATAAAACCTAACAATGTTGTTTAAATTAAAAGTATCCGATACAAGTTAAAGGCGGTAATTTGAACTAAATTTTGTGTTGAACGCTTGCTATTCTCAATTAATAAAACTTGACGAAAAATAATTTCTTCTACAGTTCCATTTACTTTTAACAATGTAGACCAAGTAAAACAGTATTATATGTTAAATACCGTAAGCAGTTAGTGCTTTTGTTTAAAAAAAAACTTATCTTTAAACTAATATCCAAGTAATACGGTAATGCTTCTATGCAAAATACGTCATCACCTATAAAATTCACAATGTAGATAATTTCGGACCTTCGAAGAAATTTTTTCTCGTTGATTTCTCTTTTGATGGAAAGGCTCGAGCATGATGCGATGTAAAACATCAAAATTTGATGTGCTTGAGTTTGCAATGTGCCTATGAATGTTTATTCAATACTTGAGTCTACGGCAGCCTGTCGTCATCAAGTTGACGGTCTACGGTGAAATTCATTTCATCTAATTTGATTTATAAATCAACATTATGCTGACCACAAATATATATATACCTTGATATACCAGTTACTATTTTATAAAAGGAACTATCACTATCGAAAATAGCAACCATCCAGCATGTTGTGTTTGACAATTAAAATATATCGTTTTGTTTAATTTTATTTCGTGTTACGTATGTTTTAGTTGTTCATTTTATTAACATGTAGAATCATTTTCGGTTTTCCAACTAATTTCAAAGTGAAAAATAACTTTTAAAATTATTTTTTGAAAACTACATACATGGCTCCGTAGACACAAGAAAGGATTGTGTGTGCTAATGGGTAGTATAAATGTTAATTGTATTACATTGATTTTATTTTATTATTATTATTTTTGTTTCATTTAAAAATAAGAACATGTATATTAGTATACTAATTCTTAATATATATAATTATATTTTGACACAACTAAATATTTAATTTGATTATTTATATTCACATGACCTAAATGTTATGTTCCTTATTGTTAGTAAAAAAAATCGTTAATGATAAATAATTTAGACATTAGCATTAAAATATATACCCTTGGAATATACTTTCATAAGCCCCAATACTAAATATCATTCTACACGAATAAAACTAGTCGCTTTAAAATACTTTTAAATGTCAATGTATAAAAATAAAAAATGGAATCGTCGCGGCTGAATAATTTAAGTTTTTTTAAGGAATGTTTATACCAATAATATTTCAAATACAGCAAATTACACTTATGCGTTTGACCTCTTGATATCGACGACTGAAAGGCAATCTTTATTAAGCGATTTAAGTACGTAAAATGATATTCGAAGACTTCCATTTTTAACGGAAAACTTCCACTTCCATTCCGAATCGCACCGATTAGTACACAATTTCTCAATTGTTGGGCCGCGGTCCACCTAGGATGATCTCTTCGCCTGGTCAGAGAATCCTTCTTTTTGTTGGAGTGACATGAGTCCTTTACAAGTTAAATATACCCAATGATGCAGAAGAATCTGACGAATGGAATGGGATATAAAACTAATTTTCAATCGCGGATATATTCTTATTGTCTAGCAAAATATATCTGACGTGTTTCTGTATACAATAAAATACTAATCGATAAGCTACAAACAGTAACCGAACTCTACCATTTCGTTCTTTCTACTGACGATACTAAATGGCTAAACTTTCATTTTATTTACAAATCATTTTATGCAACTTATGGACAACCATTAAACTTAGTTTTCCTAAAACTTAATATATGTGTATAGATAGTATTAGATCACCATTAAACCGCGGGATGAAGTATAGTTGACATAACTAAATAATTATGTATTAAATAATGATTTAGTTATTTTTGCAGTACAAAGTTTAGGTGCATCGAAAAACGACAAATTGAGCGGGTGAATCAATTTTTTTATATAAATATTATTTCGGCAATTAACGCGATCTAAAGATATAGCATAGTTATGAATTACCTAAAATTTCAAGAAGGCTGCATTTACCGTAGTTACAAACGGTTAGTCCGCTTCGGACCACTCCCGAAATAATATTTGTATATTACAGATGTTTCAAAGTTAGTTTTCCAATAGTAGCATCCATTATTGGTTTTAATAATCGCTATGAACCTAAAAATTACAGAATGAATTATTAAATGTTAAAATTGTTTTCTTGCTTCACTCGCTCAGCAAGGCGTTTAAAGAGAACCAAACAGATTAGTGTGTATCGTTCCTGAAATGCTAAGTTTGTGTAACATCAGTCCTAAGTAAATGTACCTGAAAATGTGTGTGCCTGTGTCTGTCTCACTGTCTGTGTTTCTCTCCCTTTCTCTCACAACATGTCTCTCTCACACATCCCGAACAGGAATAACAGGTATCACGCGACAGAAATATTCTTTTAATTTTTCCTCCTTATCCATATTTTTGCTTACGTCTTGTGCTGTTGCTTCATTATTAATCCGGATTTTATCATCTGTGTTTCTTTTTTATTTTTAAATAGTATATTAATTACACAGTTTTATTACATACAGACTGGCTTATATTTTTATCTTCTGTATAGTTTTGACAATTTTACTATACTTTTAAATTCCTTGATGTTTATAAATATACTCAATTTAAGTAATATTGTAGTGGATTATCAGAAATACCAAAATATAACTATTAATACAAATATTTACCTTTTTTTTATATTTCGTAATGTCACTGCCATCATTTGGTGTTTTTTTTTTAAATTGATGTTACTCCAACATATTATATACTTATAAACTTGCCAGCGTCACCCGATGTTATTAACTTTACACACATAAGTTTGTTCTGTATTTCCTAACTTAAGATTTGAGGAGTTCAAGGTAAGGCTATCATGGTAAGCGCACTGCATGTTTGTGGGACATCACGAAGTTTGCTTTTCGTGTACTCAGCACAATTATTGTATTTAATGTTTTCTATAAGAATTAATCTGTCGACTGTCTAAAATTTGCCCAAAAAATAAATTTAATAAATAATTTAATATTTTTTTTAATTTTATAATTTTTCTTACTAAAATTAATTACTAATAAATGTTCTTTTCACAGTTTTATATTACTTTTACACGAATTTTATAACAATTAAGAAAATAAAAAATTACGCAGTATTACAGAAAAGTGTGGTCATAGGTATAGCCAATTAATAATTAGTTATAGCCTTAAAAGGAAAACCATATCTGTATTTTATATTCATCATAGTCAATTAGTTTTGACTGTAAGTTTTTTATTAATTTCCAAATAATTACTATTTTAACATTCTTTTAAATTAATTCTTTTTTATCCGGGGTTTTCTTACCGGCAATTAATATGTCCTCAGTTTTCTGTAACAACTAGTGGAATTACAAGAACAACAATGTTATAACAACACTGCAAAAAACGCAACTTGCAATCAATCCAATTATTTGTACTAAAAAGCAATTCGTCTTCAGGTATCCCTGGAGACGATGAGTCGAAGAGGCCATCACGGGCTCAACAACAGAGCCTCAATGCTGAGTGCATCCTCAGCAAAGAACAGCTCTACGACATGTTCCAGCAGATCCTCGGTGTGAAGAAGTTTGAACACCAGCTGCTTTTCAACGCCCTTCTTGTAAGATTAACTTCATCTTAACTAATATTATAAACAAGCAAGCAAACAGACCCACATTAAATTTCCTTGTTTTGCTATGTTACCTAATTAATCTTTATGGAATTTAAATTTTAACATTGACCTTCGTTCGTGCTGTCATTGTGTAGGGGGCTATTGAGCAGATGGGTCACCTGATGGTAATTTATTATTGCCGGTTATGAACCTGTAACACACGTGCTGTTGCCCTTTCAAGAAGAGTTTAGAGCGAAGATTGGACCTCCGGGCCTTATATACCCTATGCAAAGCAACGATATTTTTAAAACTCGTATTATTGTCGTAAAACCGTGGTATCATGGCTCTCCCAAGGTTAAAGTTTGCACTGGTTCCGAATGAAAGAAAAATAACCTTCACGCCACTGAAGCCGAATCTACTTTAGAACAAAATCTATTTTCTATACAAAGTGTTTGCATTAAATGATCTCTAAGAAATATCAAATTACATTAAAATATTAAAACATCAAAGTAAAGATGAACCTTTGAATATTCATGGATATAATATTATTCAATACAGAATACATAATGAACATTTTAATTTAGATCAAATACAAGTTCAATTTCCCTCACACCATTCATCTTTTGAATGTGTGTTTTTATATAAAAATATAAATTTGAATTATCTACTCTGTCACTAAAGTTTAACATCCAAAGCTTAAATATTTTATTTAAATTATCTTTTACCTTCATTTTTGTGATGCCCCAGGCCTCAAGAATTAGTATTTTTTTAAAGCTCTTTATAAATTATCAAAACAACCTGTTTGCCTTTGTGATGGACAAAATTAATTAAGTACCGAAAACGGTTAACTCAATTGACTGAATCTAGGTGGAATAAACAGTATTAGTATTGGCAAATTAACGAACGCTATTGATTACTAATTACCAATTGAAATATATTATTCAGCGGGTTAATGATTCAAACCAACGTTGCTTCTGTCAACAATGGCATGCAAAAAAGGATTTTGTTTTTTTTCTATTCGTTAATTTCACTAAGATAATATAATAGGTACTCCGAAATAAAAGGTGGTCCGACGAGCTGGTGAAGCCGTGGGGAGGCATTGGATGCGAACCTTGGGGGCCTATGTCTAGCAGTAGACATCTTTCGGCTGAGGTGATGATGATGAATAGGTACTCAAACTAGAAAAGGGTACATTTTGATCAAAAATCCTTTGAATTTATTCATATTGTACTGTTTTATCATATGTGTATTTTGGAAATGCTAAACTGGTATTGGACCCGGCGTCAGTCGATTTTCAAGAACTAAACACCCTGACTTAAATAAAATATAAATACCACTAACAAAGGTATTATTCTCCTTTAAAATTGTCATAGAACAAATTAAAGAACCTATTATTATACAGTTGGATTCAGCCGATGAACAGGCTGCAGCCATTAGAAGAGAGTTGGACGGAAGAATGCAGAAGGTCAACGAAATGGAGAAGGTATGACTTCAGCAAAGAAATAAAACATATTTCTTAAAAGAAGATGAATTAGAATAATATTTTGATGTAACTTATGTTTTAGAATCGTAAGCTAATGCCCAAGTTCGTCCTGAAAGAAATGGAGTCGTTATACATCGAGGAGCTGAAGTCCTCAATCAACTTGCTGATGGCCAACTTGGAGTCACTCCCCGTGTCTAAAGGCGGCGCTGACTCAAAATATGGTCTTCCTAAAATCAAGCGGTATAATCACAGGTCAGTGTTTTAGGAAATATAAGTTAGGGAAGTTAAAAAGAGTTGGATAATAAGCAACGAACTTTTTCACACGATCTCAATACGATAATTTTTTTGGGCTGTTGATTATGGCACCATTTCTTGGAAATTGTTAAATTTAGTAAGTAGTATCCTTATATGTGTGGAAAAGTGGCATGAACCCCTGTAAATAAAATACGTTTGCGGTGAATTATCGGGGTGAAGAAAACTATATCTGTTATGACAGATTTTTAGACTTGAATTCATCACAAACGTGTTTATGTTCTCTGATACTGTCAAATAAATCATTAAAGATTATATCGATGTCTGTGTTGATTTTAACATTGTTGAAAGGCATGGCTTCGTCTTTAATGTTAAATATGTCATAAATGTGAAAAATCATTTCATTATTTTAATCTTCCTCAGACGCACTGGACTCACTTCTTTTTTAAAATACAAAGAATAAACAATTTCAGGGTTTCCCATTATTTGAAACTAGCTGACCCGCGCAACTTCGTCTACGTCTCTCAATAGTAATAAATTTTCTCCGTTTTTGAAACATTCTTCATTGGTGCTCCGCTCCTTTTGGTCTTAGCGTGATGATATATAGCCTATAGCCTTCCTCGATAAATGGGCTATCTAACACTGAAAGAATTTTTAAAATCGGACCAGTAGTTCCTGAGATTAGCGCGTTCAAACAAACAAACAAACAAACAAACAAACAAACAAACAAACAAACAAACAAACAAACTCTTCAGCTTTATAATATTAGTATAGATTGATATGTAAAAAAATATTATTTTATGTTTTTTTAATTGTCTTTATGGGCAAAGTTAATATTTTTAATTAGTTATACTAATTTTCAACATAAACATAACGTGAAAAAAAATGAAATTGTCATCTGAGAATTTGGAATCACGTATTTGTGTTTTTATTAAAATGACTGGTTTAGTGGCATTTCAAAATATTAATCAGGATGTATATACAATATATATATAACAATCAAAGACTCAGAGAGAATATTTAAGAGTCCAGTGAGTCCCTCTTTTATTTATGATCATTGGGATACGAAGTCATAATTTTACTTACAGTAAATACATATTTCAATGTGTGTGATATCATACTATTAATATTTTATGTGGTCGATGTATGCTCTTGATTGACCAAAGACAAATGCATTTATTGTCATATTATTTTCTATGAAAAGAAGATCTTTACTTCCCAAGATCTATTTCTTCTTTGCATTTGTTTTTGACAATCAATCTTAAACCGTTGTTGAGCATTATATGGTTATGATGCTTCATGAAAGTGTTAAGTTATATAAGGTGCAAAGAGTTTATATTTTAATTGCATTATTATGTAATAATTATATTATCTGATGACGACAATTAATTAATAATTGGGTTTTATAGATCAAAATAAACTGCTAAGGTTTGTGAATGACAACAAAAACAACAAAGACAGTCAGTGGATGTTATAATTATTTTTTTTAATAGCAACACTGCAATTCTTTGCATCTGAAGTCAATGTGAACGTAGTCTTTGTGTTGTCCTTATCTTAATTACGGCACTTTTGACCGCTACGATGCCTTAATTAAGAAGATCTATTCATTCTCAAATATTCATATCTGAATCTCTATGACTAAGTTATAAAATTGATCTACTATTTTGTACTATATCTCATCTTCTTCACTGTCTTCTTCTGGATTGACGTGTATTTAAACATTTAGATTCTATATTTGATTTATGCATACAATACATACAACTATTTCACAATTTATCTTTAATATGCTCTAAATTAAAAAGCAAATATTTACATAAAATCAAATGTAGAAGAAATGTTGTTCATACATAAGTGTCTAAGATCAGACGTTCATCCAGATAATCATTGTTTCAACTTGTTCATTTCTATTTGGTTTTCTTTCTGTCCCTGGCACAAAACTGGACGGTAATATTAAAGGAAGTACAAGTAATGAGTACAGAATTGATAATTTTAAGCACGTGTCTTGTGTAGCAGGACCCCAACACAATCCCTCGATTGATAAAGTTTGCAATCCTAATGTTGTCGTTATGACCACTGTAGCTGAGTAAAAGTATACTAGAGTAGAGCTTACTGCTAATACTAATATTTTAGAATACCTGTGGTCCAATAACATATATAAAATACTTATATTCAATGACAACTATGGATTTTGTCGCTTCTACGACACTGCCAGATTAAAATTAAGCTTATAGTTGATTTAAATGTAGTCGAAGACTTTACAGTAATTCTAGTTCAAATAGCTAAAGTAACACCTAAGCGATAGCTTAACATTGGAAATGTAGCTAATAAACCCCAAATGTAAAATAAATACCAAAGCTTACTAATAAACCACTGCTATGTTACACTTTTTTTTTCCTTATTTTTACAACTACCACATTACTCCGAACACTAAAATATGCTTCCAGCTTTGATAGGGCTTCGCTTTCTTATTTATACATTTATACATTCTATATTACAACACCATTCACTTCAAAAGGGTACAGCCATTGTTGGTAAAAAAGGAAAACGAGAACAAAAATCGTATCAAAGGGACATCAAGTTATCTTGTATTTTTCCAACTCGTTTAAATACCTTTGGCTGGACCTTAATCACGTTAATGTACAATCTCGTTTGTACACTGACTTTGCCTCCTTTATCATTTCCTTAGATATACGTTAGAAAATATATATTTCTGCGTGTTTGTAATGTGCCCCTTTGTATGCTTAATCACTCTTGGTATCGGTGATGGGATTTGTTATATGTATGCCACCATCTAACCCCACGGGCTTGTGAATGTTACGATCGCTTAATTAACCCTACTAATTAAATATATCATTCTTAACTTGTAATTTATGTAATTTATCAATAATATTATTAATCTATAAATATTTCTTATTCAATTTATCTAAATGAACTTTTATATTATTTACATTGATATTTTGAATTTCAAATTTATCTTGAATTAATGTGGGATTTACATGTGTGATATTTGGTGGTGGTATTTGGAATGGTTGCTTGATGGTGATTAGATCGAACGCTGGACCAGAGCCGAGTCCAAGGTTGAGTAAGCAGCTATGTTTCAGATCCCAAGGGTCACTAGCGAACAAGCTGACCGGGGAGACAGACAGTGGGGACGTCGATGCACAGCTCACAAAAATGGATGTTGTACTTACATTCCAAATAGAGGTAACTTCACACTTCACACTTCCTAAACTAGGCAGAGCCTTTACTATGGTAACCAGACGAATTATAAACATACTAATATATTTCTAAAGACATACATATTGGCGATATATTGCACCAAGACATAGATCAAATTATCATGCGCATCACTCGATTTTTGTCCTGGGAATCGAACCCAGGGTCACTAATTACTAGACCAACAAACCAGTCAAAGAGTCATCCAGTATTAAGTAAAATACTTATTATGCATTTATCACACTCTGAAAAAACTATTAACTATAACATTCAAATATATTAGGGGTTAAAGTGTGAAATTGCCGATTTGTACTGCAAAATTAAAACTCGTTTTTTCTAAGATGTAACATATTTATTTAATCAAAATATTTACTCTCATTATCCATACATTACTGCCACCTAAACCTAAGTTAATTTATGTATTTACGTTAGAACTCTGGGGATCTAAACTCGGTTCCAAAAATAACGGGTCAGTCACATAAACCCGAATATCTCCCGAACTACGTATGCCATCCTAATGAAACGAAGACTGTTCAATTGAGAATTTAATTATACAGATAAAAAATAAACAAAACTTAAATCTAAACTCTCCAACTCTTAACTTATCTCTAAATTAAAAAAAAAAAATATTGTCATATTTTTCTTAAGATTAAATTTTTTTATGATTGTTTTTTTGCTGTTTTTCATCACTTTCTTCATTTAATACTTTGTATGGCCTCCACGAGCTCTTCTGACAGCTTCCAGGCGATGAGGGATGCTGTACACTAAATTTCGGAGCCGGTGCTGAGGAATACCTTCCCATTCCTCCACCAGTGCTTGTTTGAGCTCGGGAAGCGTGATTGGTGGGGGGTTTCGACCTTTCACGCATCTCTGAAGCTCGTCCCAGGCGTGCTCGATGGGGTTTTAGTCCGGGCTTCGCGCTCGCCACTGCATGAGTTCGATACCGACCTCTTTAAGGTAGTCATGTACAATTCTGGCGGTATGGGGACGCGCATTATCATGCATTAATATGCCATGCCGGTCCATCCTGGCCATGAAAGGACCTACATGTTCATTGAGGATCTCTTCCACGTACCTCTCTGCATTTAGAGTTCCATTTTGAATGAGTACCAGCTCGGTGCGGGCCTCAGTAGAAATCCCAGCCCAAACTTGTACGGAGCCTCTACCGTACGCCACTTTTTCCTCCACACACGCTTGATGGAAGAGCTCCCCTGGTCTTCTGTACACCAACTGCCTACCATCATGCTTATAAAGCATGAATTTAGACTCGTCCGTGAACATTACCCTAGACCAATCGTCTAGTGTCCAGTTTAGGTGCTCGCGCACGTATCTCTGTCTTGCAATTCGATGTCCCCGTTCCAGTTTGGGGCCATTTACGGGCCTCAATGGTTTCAAATTTGCTTCAGCAAGACGTCTTGTTACTGTTTGAGCGCTTAAATTGCCACCTCCAAAGCGAATAAAGTGAGTTTTTAGACCAACAGCAGTTTGAAAACGATTTCGGAGCATTGTAGCCACCAGTTGTCTGTCTTCCCTGGCCGTTGTGCATCTTGGTCTGCCATTTCCTGGTCTTCTAAGGTGTGATCCGGTCTCTTGGTACCGCTAGACTACCCGCTGAACAGTCGACAAAGATACACCAATGTTTCTGGCTGTTTCACGCTGGCTCCGCCCAAGTTCCAAAAAAGTTAGGATTCTGGTACATTCCTCTAGCGTGACTGCCATGCTTCACCTCACAGAATAATAATTATACACGTGGAAGACGTTCACGATATTTTTTTTTGTGCAGAATAGAAATGGAAAGCATCTATAATGAAATGAAACAAAAATTTTGTTTTTAAAAATAGTCATTTTTTTTAATTTTGTTTTCCTAATGAAGTTTTTTTCATCAACCAGTTTAAATAATATGCTATTAGAAGCGCAACTAAAAAGTCTTTATTCTGTTTTTATTTCATTGATCTAACTTTTACAGTTCTGGAGGTATTTCAATTTTTATGACTGACCCGTAATTTTTGGAACCGAGTGTAGATTCGACAAACTGTGTAAAAATATTTTGTACTGCCTCCTGGGAAGATTTTTTTTTTATCATCTAGAATATTGTCCAAATCACGAAAAAATCGTAGTCCTTTGATGCAAGGTCCGGCAAGTACGGAGGATGATTTCTTTGAGACGTATGGTTTCTAACTGCAGCTCCTGTAGAGTTACAACGGTTTCTCGTGCATTGTGAGGTCTTGCGTTATCATGAAGCAATAATGGTGAAGATCGATTCACGAGTTGGGGCTGTTTCACTGCCAATTTCGCCATTATTGATCGAAGTTCGGCACAGTAAACATCTTCGGTTATTGAATGACCAGACCTGAGAAAGCTATAGTGTGACGAGAACACAAAACAGTTAACATTAACTTTTATTGGTAAGCTTTGCTTTAGGGCACTGTTGATGCGTCTGACCTGGGGTCAGCCATTGCAGTTTTTGCTTACAGTTATCGTAAATAATCTATTTTTCTTTACATGTAACAATTCGATGCACTATTCCTTCATTTTTATACCGATTCAACAAGGCAACAAAAGTTTCAACACGCATTTCTTGCTGCAGATCGGTCAAATCATGAGGCACCCAATTTTCTTATTTTTAATTTTTATTGATTTGATGAAAATGAGTCAATGTTGTAGGTAGGGTAACGTTAAACGATGCCACTAATTCCAGGGGGGTTTGACTCGGATCGGCTTCCACCATGTCCTTCAATTCAGCTTTATTCACCTATGTGGGCGGTCTTCGACGTGGTTCGTTCTTCAAGTCGAAGTTTCCATTACGAAAGTGTTTAAACCAAAAACGCACGGTGCTTTCATTAGCAGTCTCCTATCCAAACGCAGCGTTGATATGGCGAGCCGTTTCTACAGCGTTAGTTACGCGTTGGAACTCGTATTAAAAAATGACTTGGATTTTCGATGTACCCGTCTTTCACGTCTAAGCCAAATAAAAAAACAATTTTAAGTTGAATGTTGCTCATTTTTTTAAAGAATAACCTCATAGGTACCATGTGAAAAAAGTTTCACACGAAAATCTTACACCGTGAAGATTTTATGTCAATTCAAAGTATCTATTACTATACAACGGCAATTTCATACTTTAACACTTATTATTAAGATATCGAGTAGTCAAAAGCTTAGAGAGACAAATTAGAACTCTATACTGGTTCTGCTATTAAAGTAATAAGTAAGCACTTGCAGCATACAATTGCCCGTCAGTAAGAAGTATATTAGCGATATTTTATGTCGTTTAATAGAAATATAGGTAAATAGGTCAGTGACGTGACGGATTAAGAACACAGTGTCTCCGCTCCTATTGATCCCGTGGGTGTCGTTAGAGCCGACTAAGGGAGCAAACTACGCAGTACAACAGTACTGCAAAGAGAGGAAAAACTTGAAACAAACTATACCAACCCAGCATATTTGACAAATCTGCCTTTCTAAGGAGAGGCCTATTTTCCTATTTTTCCATTCCATAAAAAAACTCAACTCAAGGAGGGTAGTTACTACGACGGTCGCAAAAAGTAGTTGTGGTAGAAGTTTAATTTATGTATCTATCTCTGACACGTTAACCTAACCCTTTTTCTACCTATGATGTTTTTTTTTTCGAACGATTACTTGGTTGATAGAGATTTTTAGCTATAAATTAATTACTATCATTTTTGTTAGGTACTTTACCTTTTTTGTAATAATGACTCATACTTAGGTTTATTTACTATTTAATAATAGTTATTGGCAATCAATTCGAAATTCATTAAAATAACTATGGTATTGCATGAATATAGTTTATAGTCTGTTTTCACATTTGTTATTAATGAAACATTAATTGGCAAAATTGACATTACTGCGAGTATGACCACGGAAAAGCTGGTGTACCTACATAAGAAGTTGAAAGTTACGTAGTATGTCATCATTAAGGAGTATTTTAGCTGCAACTACACATTGATAAGCAATAGAAGAAATTAACAGATATTTAAGATACACAATAAAATGTAAGTTACGTAATGAAGTAAGTAACGTCTAGAGTAAAAAATGTACCTTAACTACAATTCAAAAGGACCTTTATCAAACATGTAGCACAGCGCTGGTTTTCAAAACCCCTCTATGTTTTCACGATCACGATTTATTGATTTTATATTACGTAGTTAACTTTACTACGTATTCAAACGTAAATTATTAATATAGTTTTATATTGAACCTTCAAATAAAGTGAAAGTTTTGTGCTTTAAGTCAGTTACTGAAGAGACAATCAAATCATCCACGTATATACAAAATATAAACCTTGTATCTTATCCATTTTTTTTTTGTTTTTAATTTCACAACTTGCATGCATATTAGAATGTAAATTAGTACTTAATTGAAAGCGACGAACCAATCAGTAGATAAGGTCAATAGGCTAGTTGACAATTTGAAAACTTGGTTAATTTTATACTTTAATATCTATTTTATCCCATAAAACCTATCTTTTAAAGAAAAAGCAATATTTACATTACGTATTTTGTATTTAAAAAAAAAAACAATTTAAATTTCCTTCGAAAATGCTGAATAATGTCATGGCGTCTTGAATGACGTCACAGTCTGCGAAACAAAAGTTTACATCTGTGTCCAGTGTCAACTGTTTTCAAAAAATGATTAAGGAGTAACCTGCTCTGTTGTTTGAAAACGTCAACAACAACAATGATGTTCTAACACTTTCTGATTGGTGTTTTTGATGTAACACTTTCTGATTGGTGTTCGCTGTCACGTGACTTAATGCCTATATTGTACGTTTTTTTTTAATTAATAATCTTTAACTTTTATGAGAATTAGACTGATTTTTTCTTATCTTTGTCTCTTCATTTATAATTTGTAACTATAAACCAAGCAATTTGTTATTTGTTATTATAGTATTCTACCGATTACGGGTAGATATGTATTCTTGACCATAGTCGGTGCATTGGTGAAATCTCGAATATTCTATAGACTTCATTTCCATGTTCAATATGTTATAGGTGGTTGTGATGGAGGTTAAAGGTCTGAAGTCATTGGCACCGAATAGAATAGTCTATTGTACAATGGAAGTTGAGGGCGGGGATAAACTTCAGACTGACCAAGCAGAAGCCTCGAAACCTATGTAAGTATTTCGGAATTTTGCTTTCGGTCATTAGTAAAGTAAAGTAAAAATATTATGGTGGAGGGCTCGTTTTACTATAATTAAAATTTAACAAAAGAATTACCGACGCTAATTATTATAAACTGTAATAAGCCATATTTTTCATTAACAGATTTTCCCCCAGGTAGAATATAGTGTTAAATTTAAAATGGATCAATCTTCAGTAAAACAAACTTTAGTTCATTTGCGTTAAAAAATAGTGACGCATCGATCAAACTTCGCTTTCGTACGAAAATACCAAAAAATATCACAAAAAAATATACTTAGTAAAAGTAAAACTTCCTTTTTGAAGTGGGTAAAAATGGACTGCATTTTTGTAACATTAAATGCTATTTGTATCAAGTAAAAGTATGAAAGTAACTCTCTGTTACTAAGAACATAAAGTAAGGAAAAATAAATATTTTTGATTTAAATATTTCAACAAAAACTTCTCTCCATAGGTGGGACACCCAAGGCGATTTCAGTACGACACAGCCTCTCCCAGCTGTAAAAGTAAAACTGTACACTGAAAATCCAGGAGTTCTTGCATTAGAGGATAAAGAACTCGGGAAAGTGGTGTTGAGACCTACACCTCTCTCTAGCAAGGTAAGTCAAGTTTCACATCAACAGCCTTCAATAGTCCACTGCTGGACATAGGCCTCTCCTTAGAAATGAGGTTTTGGCCTACTATACCACGCTGCCCAGACGGGTTTTTGTAGGGTTTGTTTCAAGTTTTCCTGCTCTCTGCAGTGCTGCTGTTCTTTCGTCCAGTTTAGACCGAAATTATTTAAACGATACGATGTTCTAAAGGTATCATTTCATGAACGACGATAATTTAATAAACGTAAAATTTGCCCAACTATCACGAGTGAAAGCCCAGACCAAACAACTAAAGCATCTAATAGAATAACATGTTATTTTTGTCAAGAATGAGACTGTAATGAGACTGTAATGAGAGCACAATAATTACCCAGAAAATAATAATAATAAAATTTTCGGAGTTCTGACACATAACGCCATCTAGTTTCAAACTTAGCAGAGCTTGTACTTTTTTGTAAATACATTGATATTATACATAGAAAGCATATCTATAAATTTTTATAGCTATCGTTTGCTTTTGATATTTGCCTTTACAGTATCAGCAAATGCATTTTATCACACGTTAATTACTACAAATTTTAAGCGTTAAATTGACCATGTGCTGCAAGCTTTAATGAAAATCCTTCATCTTTGATTATTATTATTAATATTTATTTTATTCCAGGTACCCGAATGGCATCGTATGACAGTACCTAAAAATTTACCAGACCAAGATCTGAGAATAAAAATAGCATGTCGAATGGATAAACCCTTGAACATGAAACATTGTGGGTAAGTAACAACTCAGTAAGTTAAGATAAATATGGTGACGATTATTAAACCAATCAAAATTGAGCCGCTTTTGTATATAAAGCCTTCCTAAAATTCGCCAACGAGTTTGAAGCTTCTGTCCTTTCTACCAATGTTGTATTATGTCGACGAAATGTATAAAACATTGCTAAAGGGTTTTTTGCGGAACGCCAGCCGGAATTCCTCGGGTATGAAAAAATTTTCGTTAAACAAAGGGCTGATGCATGCAACTATTACCTAGAATTAAAATGGAATTATCAGATATTCCGAAAAATACTTGCAAAAAAGGTGCTTGATTTGAGAGCCGCACAATAACTTAATTTCTTATTCAGAAATGCGTCCCGACGTTAAAAAGGCATGCATCCTGAAGAATTATTTTTCTCATGGCCTTTGTGTTATGTTGTTGTACATTAAATCAACCTTTTCACGACTATACGTATAGCTTATAACAATTCCTCACTTTAGAAGATTTTGTGGAAAGATCAAAATTATTTAATATTGCCATTTACTGTTTTATTGTCTTCAGCTATCTACACGTTATTGGGAAAAATGTGTGGAGGAAATGGAAACGTCGGTACATGGTCCTAGTCCAAGTGAGCCAATACACATTTGCGCTGTGCTCGTATAAGGATAAGAAATCAGAACCGGCCGAAATGATGCAATTGGATGGCTTCACCGTCGACTACATAGAGCTAGCAAGCGGTACAGTATTGCTTCTTATTCTTAAAGATAGTTAAACATTTTTAACACTTTTGCCATGTATACGACACTACCATCATCATTACCAACAGCCTTTAATAGACCACTGCTAGACATAGGCCTCTCCTTAGAAAGGAAGTTTTGGCCTACTATACCACGCTGGCCAGACGGGTTGTGTGTTTGTGTCAAGTTTTACTTCTCTTTGCAGTATTGTTGTCCTGCGTAATTTGATCCCTTAGTCGGCTCTTACGACACCCACGGGATGATTGGGAGTGGTGACAATCCGTATTCTTAATCCATCACCACACGGACATTAAAGCCATGCAATTACTTTTCAAATAAAATATATAATATATGTATGTGTGTAATCTTAAAGCCTGGTTAATGGGTTTCTAAAATGTTTGTTTTGTCTTGCAGCTCAGTTGATCGTTGGACAAGGTAAGCCAATCAACAAAAAAATAGGTAATGAACTTTTTTACATATTTATTTTTTTATATCCCTTTGAAAGCACATATTAAATTAATAAAGCAATTTTACAATCTCTTCAAAAATAATTTTAAGATTTTATAGTGGAGAATATGATTGAAGGAAATGTTTTTGTAGAATTGGAAGGAGCGAAATATTTCATGAATGCAGTACGTGATGGAGAATCGGTTTTAATGGGAGTTACAGACGAAAATGAATGTCATCTATGGGTTATGGCATTGTATAGAGCTACAGGACAAAGCCATAAACCTACACCCCCTACCACATCAGATACACATCACAAAATTATGGGAGGTTCGTTATTTTGTTATTATAGAATGCAGTTTTTGTTGCATGGTTGTTGGTAGCAAATCAAGTAGGTACTATAGGAGCTACAAACAAAAAAAATATATTTCATAAAAATAAACAAAGCTTATACACAATTCATAAAACTTCTTATTTTCCCGTCTTTATCACTAATACATACTATGTAGTGAATCTAACCAATCTTTCTCGTTCTTTGACTCGTGTAGCCATTTTTTTATTTCCAACTTTCATTTAATACTTACTTTTAGCTAATATTTACTTACGTTTGTTTGAACAATCTTTTTCTCACTGCCAGCTTTTCTGCTCCTAATATTATCAATATGAATCATTACGTGGCAAAAACTTTATCAGAAGGTGTTACGAGTACCAATACTAGAAAATAATCATTATATTGTTTTTTAAATTCTGTACTCAGTCCAAAAATTAATTTATTTCGTTTTTTCAAATGTTTGGATTTTTTACTAAGTTTAACTTAAAAAATCTTACGCTCTAGATGCAGACAAAGCTCGTAAACACGGCATGGAGGATTACATTCAAGCGGATCCGTGTCAGTACGATCATCACCAACTGTTCTGTACGCTTCAGTCTCTTACGTTGAAGTATCGGTTACAAGACCCATATTGTTCACTGGTGAGGAATCAACCATAATATAATAATATAATATAATATACTATTCACAACGCCATCTAGTCCCAAACTAAGCAGAGCTTGTACTATGGGTACTAGACAACTGATATAAATACATATATACTTTTTTTTTGTAAATACATGCATATTATACATAGAAACACCCAGACCAAATCAAACATTAAATGTTCATGCACACAAACGTTTGAGTAGAGCGGGAATCGAATCCGCGATCTTTGGAATAGCAGTCCGTTACACAAACCACTACGCCTTCCGGTCGTCATAATATTCTTTGTATTTGCGTTTAGAAGAATAGGAGACGGTAAATTTAATATATCATTGGTTTATCTATCGTGCATTATCTAAAAGATTTCAAAAAAGTGTAATTAAAACATTAAAACCAAAATTAACACATAAAAAGAAATCAAAGACAATGGTGTAACAATGGTGGAAGACGCAGACGAGGTTGTCTCCTCGTCTGCGTCTCCCAGAAAGAATAATTTTCCCCGTTTTTGCAACGATAAACGGGCTATCCAACACTAAAAGATTTTTTCAAGTCGCACTAGTAGTTCCTGAGATTACAACGAACATACAAACTTTAGCTCTTTATTATATTAGTATGACTAAACAAAATTCTAACGTAGTTTTTTATTGATCTTTCATCTTATATCAAAACTATGTTAAAGAATGGACCAAGTGAGGTTCAAAAAATGTAGATTGTTTTCATCAAGTTATAATTTAATTATTTGTGTACTCTTCTGTCATTTAGAAAATAATACTGTTTGTTAGTAACAGGCATTCCAAGTTGCAGGATTCCAGGTTTTCCAACAATAATTTCATTTACCCTATTCTTTGATCTGGAGAAGAATGCTAAAATACTTAATCATCTCTGAACGTCAAACATATCACCCCGATATTTAACCAACTATTTATCTTTCCAGGGTTGGTTTTCTCCTGGCCAGGTGTTCGTATTAGACGAATATTGCGCCAGGTACGGCGTCAGAGGTTGTTACCGTCATCTATGTTACTTATCTGATCTCCTGGACGTCGCTGAGAGTGGAGTACAAACTGTAGACCCAACCCTCATGCATTACTCCTTCGCTTTTTGTGCTAGCCACGTCCATGGTAACAGGTGAGCTGGTAGATAATAAACATATATATTATCCAAGGTAAAAAATCTGTGTTTTTGGTTTTCATTCAAGGAAAAAACGAATTTTAAAAGCTTTGTTTAAATTTAAACTGAATAATAAAAGAAATAAGAATCAAATTCTATAGTGTAATTTAAATGAATGATAATTATAATAACTTTTTCATATAATGTTAATTTATAAACATACGAGTATATATAACACATACATACTTGCAAAATATATCATGTACCTTATAAATGTAGTTGCACTTGTAAAAGTTGGTATTGAATGGTAATTGTTAGATTTGGTGTCCCACAAGGAGGTATTGTAGGTCTGCAACTATTTGTGTATGTGATTTAGTGGTAATAAGTGAATAGAACTGAAGCTGTGTTTGAAAAATATGTCGAGATGGCGGTTTTCAAATCGATATTTTAGTAAAAATATTAATGCCATATCCATTACGTTTAAAAATGTATGTTTTAATACCTTAGGTCGTCGTTCTTTTGAAGTATTATGTAGATATTTAAACATAAAAAGTGAATCAGTGTAAGCACAGAATAGCATGAATTCTCCAAATCCTTAAAAACAATGTTATCCCTTGGTGTTCTGCATATTTTAGTACAAGGCAATTGTCAAACACAGTTTCAGAACCATAAAATAGAGAAGAACCACGATCCCCCCGCCCCACATGAGTGTTATGTTGCTTATGACTTTAAACCTTACTAACTTACTACTACGATTGTGCTAAATGTGCTTACTAACTATGCCTGCTTCACCTTACTAATATACTTTCAGGCCTAGTGGATTCAGCAGAAGAAATAGAATTATAAAAAGCTTTCGAAACTGTTAAATTCAAAGAAAATCTAGGCTCTAAGACAAATGTAGAGTTCTTAATCTGAAATAAAAATGCATAAAATTCACGACTATAATACAAAAAACATCTAGTTAACGCATAAGAGCCTTAATAGCATACGCATTGCATTCATTATTTTTGCTAAAAGTAAAGTACGGGATTTACTCACATTGTGTTATGTCACTCATTAGTATCATAATAACTTGAATAGAAAATGTCATACACAGTTCTGCACAAAAGCAATATATTCTAACAAATAAATACTAAGAAAGTAGTTAATGCAAACGATTCTCTTAGACATTAATAATTTAATTAAGATTTTGTTTAGCTTAGAAGTTAGTTAGTGTAAGCTGCTGATTTCACAGCCTACCCTATATCCCGCTTGTGCCCAACTAGAGTAAGCCCTACGGTGGAAGTGGTTCACAGTACAGCGACGTTGACTGGCAGGCCGGACGGGGTGGGCAGCATCACGGTACAGGAGAAAGAAAAATTCGCCGAGATTAAGGAACGACTGAAGGCGTTATTGCAGCACCAGATCACGAATTTCAGATATGCGTTTCCATTTGGACGGCCTGAGGGGGCACTGAAGGTATGTTGGCAAAACTAAAATACTATTGGTACTACTAAAATACTATTACACTATTTTTGCTAAATTAAAAAAGGTCTTGCTGAATTAACACTTGAACAACGTTCCAGGCAACACTATCACTTTTAGAACGAGTTCTGATGAAGGACGTGGTCACTCCCGTAGCTCCTGAAGAAGTGAGAGCTATGATACAGACCAGTCTAGAGAACGCTGCGCTGTTAAACTACACACAGCTTAGTCAGAAGGCTAACATTGAAGGTAATTTTCCAAAGACTGGTATATAAGAGAGAAAATATAATTTGGAATGTTAAAATTACATGACACTCTTGCTTAACAGAGGACTTGAGAGGCGAAACAATGGTTACCCCTGCAAAAAAATTGGAGGACCTGATTCATCTAGCTGAGTTGTGTGTCGACCTACTGCAACAAAACGAAGAGCATTATGCAGAGGTAAAGGGACTAGATACGTGTTAGGAAGTTGCATTATTCCCCGAACGAAGCAAAATTTTGGAGTATAATGTAAATACAATGTATAAATACGCTGAAGAAAATTTGGTCTGTTCTGTCATATTATACTCCTTAAGATTTGCTCAGAAATGTCGTATGTCGTCTATCCTGAATGTCGTGGTTTCTGTTTTGGTAAAGCATTGTCAAGCTAACATCATTTCTGGACTAAAGTTTCTTATTTACATAAAATAAATATTACATAAAAACTGATATATTTATTTATTGTTTGATTTTATAGCAGATAAACAGGTAGTAGTGCTTTAAAATGCTTTATCAATGTGTATATGTTTACTGGATAGCATCCTATTCTCCTGTCGCTATTAGTGTGGGAAATGAGAAGGCCATGTTATTTATTTCAACAGAATGAAAAGAAAATGAACCATTTCCATCATTTATTTTCTACGGTATAACCAATAGTTTTGTCATGTGAATACAGTCGTGTTCAAATTCTTGGAAATGTTTTATCTTCCCAAGTTATGTATTTTATGTCGCTTTGTCGTCAAGTGAATTATGTTTAAGTTCACTTTCCGACGTTGGATGTACGCTAAGTATAACTATGACTTTATTATCCACTTCTATCTTATATTTTATTTCTCCGCAGGTTTATAACACAAAACCGGACTCTAGCGGTCAACAAAATGTAACTACTCATGAATTTGATTGATTGCTCGGCTGAACGATCACTTGTCAATCGTTTGTTCACTCGATCTTGGTCATACTTCACTTTGATTGGTTTGATCACACTATAAAAGGAGTAGACTCAATAAAAGATAGTTTGACTCGCTTGGGCAAATGCTTTGATGTTACGTCAATAGTTTAGGAACAAGGCATTGCATGATTTAAGAATTCAATAGAAAGTTTTAACTGACTGAGATATAACTTTTCATTAAAGGCTCAAAACAAAAATAAAATTGCTAAATATGATTAAAATCCAATTGGCAGGGTTTTCAGGCCTCTATGTCTGCAATGAAAAGTGAATTTTGTATAGTTTTTTTCACTACAGTCTACTCCGTATTCAACCCACAATACATGAACTTAATATCAGGAACAGATGCTCAACATTACAAACTTAGGACATACAACACATTGAGCACATTACAACATATTCTCGCTTTTGTAATACGCTATTATTTTTATTTTTTTATCCTCTGCTTGAATTCGTTCTCCAAATTATGGGATGGAAATCATTTTAATGGTTTCTCTCCCCTTTATCGATTTGGTCAAACGCTTCACCCAAAACTATTGATACAGAAAGAAACTTATTAAGATCGATTTCGGTATTGCGTTATTTAGTGGTCCATTATAATACACATTAGTTCTTCAGTACCGTTAGGCGTTGCACAATATCATACAATACTATACTAGTATCAATACTATTGTCTCTGCTTATAGTAATGTAGAATTGTTTTATTCACTATGTTTGTTGAATTGCATGTAATCCTTTTTAATCTTATGAACTAGTGGTGTATCAAAATATTTGCTATTACCAGTCAAATATTCTGATATAATGCGTAGGGTAAGTTTTGAAATATTGAAGATTATGTTGATGAAAAAAATATTTAATCCAATTTCACTATTGCTAAAGTCTAGCAAATATACACTCATATTTTTAATCACCAGGCTGGATTTTAAAAATCCTAGAAAAAATTGAGTGTTTAACAATTTTTATCTGTATCCTGCCGAAATATTGCGGATTTTCATCCCCCGTTATGGAGTGTTCCGATGTGCCAAATTATCTTCTTGGTCTAAGTATACAAAACAGTTATTCATAACTACTTCCTGATCTTGTGTCTAAATATGCCTTTGACAACACGCTGAATTAACCATGTATGTTTCTATGCAGGCTTTTGCGTGGTTCTCCGAGTTATTGGTAGAGCATGCTGAGATCTTCTGGGCACTATTCGGAGTCGACATGGATAGAGTTTTGGCTGAACAACCTCCGGATACTTGGGATTCTTTCCCGCTGTTCCAGATCTTGAATGACTATTTGAGGACAGATGGTAAGTATTTTTGTTGAGTGTCACACCGCATTGCCCATTGTTCGCATTTAATTCTTTTATTTTCTCTTAGATGATATTGTAAGTTGCCTTTTTTATTTAAAACTGTCTAAAGGGTTTTTTAATGTAATTTATAACTTTTAATTTTTTAAACTACAATGTTCACTATTAACCGCAGCAGTTTACATTCAACTTTTGTTTTTGTTTGTTTGATCCGTCGGCTGGCTCAGAAACTTCGTTCTTTTCTTGTATTTTCTTAGTGTTATAAAGTCATTTTCTGCAGCCTGGAAATTTAAATATCATAGACAGATATATCAAATATTTTTCACTGTATTTGATAACTTTGTAAATTGATGTTTCATGAGGGCATGATAGGATAATTGATCACTTTGATGTGATATATATTTAGTTTCGAGATGGTTTTAACATAACATCTTCCAAAAGATGTACAAAATTCTAACATAAATATACACGACATGCTACATTGTGACAGAAAATCTTAAAGGCGGTCGATTCCACGAGCACCTGCGGGAGACTTTCGCGCCTCTCGTGGTGCGGTACGTGGATCTCATGGAGTCATCGATCGCACAGTCCTTACATAAAGGGTTTGAGAAGGAACGGTGGGAAATCAAAGGGTAAGTGATGGTTATCGTGTGCGAGATAATACACTTGTAACAGGTAATAATAATCACTTGGATGCCGTTACCCGCACCGATAATTCTGTATAGTTTTCTTTGATGTTTTGTATGGTACGTATCCAATTTTTACCTATTACAACCCATAAGGTACTTTTCATTGACATTTGCCAGTCTCACAAGTTTTTGATGGTACTGTGAGGACAGCAAATATTGAAGAAAATGAAAGAAGAACTTTCCTTGTGAGGAAAGGAACCTTAAAAAGAGTAATTCGCTGTTGTAAAAGAAAGTGGAATAAATCAACCAGTACAAATCAGACTTTTAATTATAAGACTTAGATTCGTTTACAAACTTCTTTACCATACCTTTTACCAGCAACGGGTGCGCAACCAGCGAAGAGTTGTTTTGGAAGTTAGACGCGCTGCAGAGCTTTATCCGTGACCTGCATTGGCCGGAACCGGAGTTCCGTTCGCACCTGGAGCAGAGGCTCAAGCTGATGGCCAGTGATATGATGGAGACCTGCATACAGAGAACAGAAGCTTCCTTCCAGGTACGGTTAAGAAGCAAATGGATGCAAGATTTTACTTTGAGCCTGTTGGCTTAGTGGTTAGTAATATTGACAACTAGGTCGTTCGTGTGGTGACGGATTAAGATTACAGACTGTCACCACCCCGATTCATCCCATGGGTGTCGTAAGAGCCGACTAAGGGAGAAAACTATACGCAGAACAACAGCACTGCAGGGAAAAGAAAAACTTTACACATGCCCTATACCAACTCGTCTGGCCAGCGTGGTATAGTAGGCCAAAACCTCCTTTCTAAGGAGAGGCCTATGTCCATCAGTGGACTATTAAAGTCAAAGGTCATGAGTTCGATCCACCCAAGACAAATGTATGATCTGCACGATCAATTTTTCTACGTTAGTTTTGCTGCAGCTTCTTTCGGCCGGTCGCCTAGTGATGTTTATGGTCATACCGCCTTTGCTCGGTTGCTATAGCCATATCCGTTATCTAACAGAAACTTGAAACAGAACAGTAACTGTACCTCATCGTATTGTTCGTACAACGACTCGATCTTCCCTGAGCGTAGCTGTAACTCTGTCACTATGTCACAACTGCTTAATTTTTTGCCGCTTAATCCATCAAGATGTTTAATAAAAATGGTTAAGCGACCCTTAAAACTCCCTCGCTTTTTCACTAATTCCTGTTCATCGCACATACTGGGAAGCGAGTGTCGTCGATCTGGAATTTATATAAGAATAAACTTAACTTAACTATATTTAATTACAAAGCAATTGCCTAATTTTACACTAACACAGTTGAATTAACAAGTTTTACAAATATCTAACACTCAATATTGTACCAAGTATTTGCCTACCTACCTCTATATGTATAATTAATAAAATTTGGATCTCAGTAGTTATAGATTGGATGTTGTTTTCGTTTTCTATAACCTTCCCTTTTATTCTTAGAACATGTGTGATTTATCGCACAAAATAATCATAACTTGCAGACGTGGCTGAGGAAGAGTGTGACGTTCATGTCGACGGACTATATCCTGCCGGCAGAAACTTGCGCGATGGTGAACGTGGCGCTAGACGCCAAGAATCAAGCTTTGAAGCTGTGCGCCGTTGAAGGGGTAGATATTGTGAGTAACTAACGTAGGATTAGCGCTGGAGCAGGTATGCAACGGACCATTTCTGTTCGAATCAGAAGCCTGGAGTACCTGCACAGCAGTTTGTCAGTACTAGCAAAGCAGCATACTGTTGTCGAAAAAGGACAACAAGGATAGGGTGGTAAGTTGGCACTTTTGTCATTTTACCCCCCTCTCCCTTCTCCTCCAATTCCTTCCACTGCCACTCCGCTATGATATCAGATCGCTTAGGATTCTTTCCGCACATACCAATTAGTCTTCTATCTGTTTAGAAGTTAGGCGAGAACGACATAAACTAAGCATGTATCATTTAGCAAATAAACATAATTAGTATTTTGCAAAACCACTCCAATAGTTTATACTTATTCAGTACCAGTATCACACGAAGATGGATGCCCAAATTGAGGCGTGTTTACTTGCCATGGCAACCGGCATGACCACCCGCCTCTCTGCTGTACTTGAGGCAACGCTTGCGAAGATTGCGAGGTTCGACGAGGGAAGGTAATGTAATTCAAATTTATAATGTAAATGCAAATGTGTGTTTATTGGTTTATTACTCTTTATTGACGTGGAAAGTACATTGTATTATGTAGTAGGATGTGTATTCATTTTAACATGCAGCAAATATGGCTATTCCGTCCTGATCAAGGGGCAGTTCGTTCGCATTCTTTATATAGATTAGAGTCTACTACTTTGAATGTGGAAGGCTGTAGTCAAACAGCACCAATAGTAGGCAAAGATCGTACAAAATCGAAAGGAATATTCATGCCCTAGCCATTGCAATAAAAATATTAAAAAGTACCTTAGTCGACCAATTGTTTGAGAGTTTGGTAAGCATTTCTTAATTTTATTTTCCACTTTGACAAACCAATTAATACTACCAAATTAGTTATATTATGTGTAAAATACTTTCTCATGAATAATGTTATGTCCAAATTAAAAAAAAACCTGAGTATAGTTTTGTGTTTTTTAGTGTTTCCCATAGAAATAAGAAAAAAATCACTGCACGGAGTACTGTGGTAGTTTTATCAAGGACGTTTGGCGCTCAAACGTATAAAAATATAACTACACTATATACACACACACTATACACTGATTTAGCTTTAATGCTATATTATAAGTTACTAAAATGCTGTATGTAAGGAATGTTGTTTTATTTATTTCATAGGAAAGTGTGAAGAAGATATTTGTGCTAAACTTAGCTTAAAACAATTATTAAAAATGCACTTTTTCAATTTTAAGTACGTACGTACGTAACCGAAATGTGTTTTTTTTCAGTGATTATAAATTAGTACAGTCAGTGAATTATTTTTGTATAGCTATCAACACGGCCGGAAATTTTTAATAAAGCAGTATGCCTTCTGATTAAGAGTGTTCCTTCCTCCCTTCCTCTAAGATTTTTTTCCCAAACTAGGTTGGGATCCGCTTTATATCTACTACGATACGGCGATGGAGCGACGGCCATCATATTTCCACAAAACAAGTACTAGGCGATATCGAAGTTCTGTAAAAAAACTTATCTCGGACTAGAAGGAGAACGACAGGAACAACGAAATTACATTCTGGAACTAGAAAGAAAAATCAGTGACCTACAACACGTTTCTCGGTCCTCCTTGATAGAGATTAAAAACGTGCCACAGACCGAAAAGGAGACTACCAATGATCTCTCATCGCTAGTAGTACGTACATGTGGTGCAGTAAGAGCTGAAGTAAAACCTTCAGACCTGCGGGACGTCTACCGTCTGCCTGGTAAAAAAGGATCAAACAGACCAATTATTGCTGAGTTCCAAAGCGTCCCGATGAAAAATGAGGTAATAAATGCAGCACGTATATTCAATAGGGGCCTGCCTCTGTCTGAAAAACTAAATAGTGGTCATATTGGTATCAGTGGCCCAATCAGACCAGTCTTTGTTACAGAACATTTGCCGGGCAGCGTCCGACAGTTGTTTTATGAGGCGCGTATGTTCTGTAAAACTAACACTTATAAATTCTGCTGGTACCAGAATGGTAGGATTTTTCTTAGAGAGCGAGAGGGCACGGAATCTATCCCAATTACATCGGCACAATCCCTTAAAAAGTTACAAAAAGCTGAATAGTTCCATGACCCCACTTGAGATGTTGGTAATATCTAGCTCCCAAAAAATACTGTATTCGGGTGGTATGTTGTTGAAATTGTATCACCCTGCAAAAGGTAAACTATTAAAAGCTAACAAGTATGTACTACCTTTTTTATATGTAATCTTTACACCATGTTGCACTATTGTATTGGGAAGGCGAATATATTGCGGGATGTTTCAACGGAAAATTGTTGAATATTTTTCTTATAAAATTGTGTATTTTTACCATATAACCGTGTATTTATCACTTGATTGGAATGTAAGTTATGTCATACTACTGGAGCAGCTGATTGTAATTCACCATATCGATATCACGAAAATAATAATCAAGCAAAGATGTAAAATTACCTTTTTTGGTTGTGCTGCCGTCTGTTTTGTGTATTGGTGTCAATTTTCTACATCTGTGAACTATACTCATAAGCACAAAAACTGTCTAAACCTGTTCCTGGTAAAATCTGACTTTGTAATGCATGGCTTGTTTTCAGTTGTATTTGAGTTTTACTATTGCACTTACAAAAATCACTTCATCCATATATATTTTCAATCCATCACAAGTAAAACGCATTTACCAAATTACTGTAGATACACACATTTTGACAAATCGGCTACACACACAAATAATAAAACTACTCGTATACACAACACTCACCCTAAATGTATCTATTTCCGAGTTTGCAACAAATCGATGTCGTGGTCTAAAGATACCGATAGTCAATTACCTTGTAATCGGCAAAAACGATACCTTACAGTGCAGTATGTAAATATTATATATTTAATGGTCTACCCTTCTTTCCTGAACTATAACAGCGTAAAGTATATTTCAGATTATTTCATAAATCCTCTTTGGTGACATACTCAATCTCTCAGAAAATCTCGATGAGATAACTGTATCTCATTCACTTGCACTGGATATAGAAGAATGTCACAAAATGTTATCACCTACCTCAGAGCACCTGCTTATACTGACTCAGAATATACGTAGCATAAGTCGTAATATAACTGGCCTAGAAATACTAATAACTAGACTTAAAATTGATTGTGATATTCTAATCTTAACGGAATGTTGGCTGCCATGTGCACCTTTTCTACCTAATATATCGGGTTACTCTCATATGGCAACCAAGGCAAACCCGAAACAAAACGATGGGGTAGTTGTCTATTATAAAGAACATCTTAATGTAAATATAACTGAACCAGCATTCCCTGATAGCAACTGTCTGATCGCCACGGTAAACAATCAAATCGCGATAGTAGCTTTATACCGATCGCCATCCTACACAAATATTGACCCATTCCTCTCAGGCTTAGATAGTATCCTGCACTCACTTTCATCTTACGCAAACATAATAGTCATGGGTGATATTAATATAACGATAAGTCCAAACAATATTACATTGAATGGGGAAAGATACCTCACTCTTACAGCCACACACGGACTTTTACCTGCTCACACATTAATTACACGGAGTAGTAGTGCAACTTGCCTAGACCATGTTCTCCTGAAAAGTAAATTTACGTCAACTACTATAGTTCCACAAACAACACTGACAGACCATTATCCGGTATTACTAAAATAGACACTAAATTAACACGACAATACTCCATTACATCATTCACTAAGACAAACTATGCAGGCCTAGAAAATGATATCAGAAAAATGGATGTAAACGAGATTTACAACTCTGACGACCCAAATTTTTGCATTGAATACTTGACAGGATGCCTCCATAGCCTCATTGAGAAACATACAATGACTGTTACTCTTTCTCGGCGTAAAAGAATAATAAAGCCCTGGATAACACCAGGTTTACTAAAGTGTCTACGAAATAGGGACAAGTTACATAAAAAAGCAAAAGCATCTCCAAACAACATAACATTAAATATAACATATAAACGCTACAGAAATTTTTGTACCAAAATCTTAAGGAAAGTAAAAACAAGCTATGAAAAGGATCTAATTAAATCTGTGAAAAATGACAACAAACAGTTATGGAAAGTTATTAAAACCATTACCAACACTACAAAAATTACGACACCCCCTAAAGAACTTTTAACCCTCTCTTCAACACCTGAACGGGCACTGCAAGAAGTAAACAGCCACTTTGTGAATGTTGGGACCCTGCTGGCAAATAAAATTACCCAAAAAAATAAACATTCCCACACACACGCTCTAAATTTAATAAATATAAAGGAAAACATAACAAGTCCAAGTAACTCATTTGTACTCTTAGACACCGACGAACAAGAGGTACAAAGTATTATTACTCTCTTAAAAACAGACTGCGCCTCAGGAAACGATACTATTTCTTGCAAATTTTTAAAACAACACAAACACACATTAGTACCTATTCTGACAAAAATTTTCAACGATTGTCTAACATCTGGCATTTTCCCAAATTCTCTGAAAAGGTCAGAAGTATGCCCTATCTACAAGAGTGGTGACAGAAGTTGTATTAGTAATTACAGACCAATAACCATATTACCGGCTATTTCAAAAATTTTAGAAAAAATAATAAATACTAGACTAAAAGCCTACCTTGAAAAACACAATCTCTTATCACCTAATCAATACGGATTTCGAACGGGGAAGTGTACCGAACATGCTGTGAACAAGCTGATTGGTTTTGCAAGCACTAACGTCTCAAAGGGAAATAAATGTATAAGTATGTTCTTAGACCTAGCTAAGGCATTCGATACAATTTCTGTTCCCATCTTATTGAACAAACTCGAGAAAATCGGAGTTAGAGGTGTTCAACTTGCACTCATAAAAAGTTACCTTTCTCGGCGAGTTCAGCGTGTTCAAGTAGGACAGTATAAAAGTACATATCTTCCTGTTACTCACGGTGTTCCGCAGGGCAGCGTCTTAGGACCCACTTTATTCCTCGTATATATAAACGAGCTCACACAACTCAAACTTACCCAAGGCGAAATCATCTCCTTTGCTGATGACACAGCCCTAGTTTTTGCCGCTGACACTTGGGATGAAGTTTTTGACGCTGCCCAGCAGGGTTTTAATACTGTTACGAAATGGCTTGAAAGAAATATTCTAACACTAAATGTAAACAAGACAAAATATATTTGCTTCAGCATAAGAAGTAGTTCCGTGATTAACGGAAGAAATAATATTGTCTCACACGAGTGTTCCTTGGGACTTGACTGTTACTGTTCATCGTTGGAGCGTGTAAATGTGATAAAGTACTTGGGTGTTATAATAGACAGTAATCTCAACTTTAAAGAGCACATCAAACACTTGTGCGCCAAAACACGTAAACTCATTTATGTCTTTAAGAACTTGAGATCAGTAGCAGAACCGCTGTTGATGAAGCAAATATATTATGTGCTATGTCAGTCGCTCCTAACATATTGTATTACCTCATGGGGAGGCACATATAAAACCGTAATGAAGTCCGTTGAAGTTGCCCAGAGAGCAGTACTCAAGGTCTGCAATAATAAACCCATTTTCTATCCCACTGCGGCACTTTATGAACTGTGCGAAGTTCTAACCGTAAGACAATTGTATATATTGAAGATTATAATGCTACAACACAATAAAATGACCTATAATCCACAGTTGTTAAGGAGACGTAGAAAATATATGGTGTGTGAATTTCCGTCGGGGTGCAAAACTAAATTTAGCAGACATTTTGCTGACTTTAACGGTCCACATTTATATAATAAAATCAATAAAGTTCTCAATATTTATCCGCAAACGGGCACACAATGCAAAAAAGAGTTGATTAAATATCTGCAAAAACTAGACTATGAAGAGACTGAAAAACTCATGAACACTATTCAATAACAGTTGCAAACACACACACACACACACACACACACACACACACACACACCACACACACACACACATACACACACACACACACACACAAGACCACATTATACTCAAGCACATGCACAGACTGGATTGATTTTATATTGTATAGCTTACATACAATATATAATAGTAAGGCTTAATGTGCAATTGGGGAGTTGGCGCTGATAGTCGAAATACAGGCTTCGCCTAGTTCGACTTCAGATGCTTGATTCTTTTAATTTTAAGATATATTAATATGGATGTTTAAAGATGTAACCTGTAAGTTTGTGTGTGTAAATTTATAAATAAATAAAAATAAAAATAAATAAAAATTTTTAGGGCCAACTACCCGTGACGTTTGCCACTGATGTTCGTATGACAACCAGGACCACAGCTTCTCCGAGGCACGGAGGGGTCTCAATATATTTTGAATGGTCACCCATCCATAGTCTGACCTGGCTACGATTGTTTAACTTTACAATGTGTCAATCTACTCGGTACCCTTAGCTACGATCATCTCTTTGATTAAGAGTATTATTTATTTAAAAAAAAACTAAACTTATTTTAAGCCAAACTCCAATTAATGTATTATTGCATGTCACATTCTAACAGGCACCTAAAATTCGAAAGACAACAAAAAATTAGTTAATCAGTGATGTTTAGTTTAACTCTTCTACTATATTAATGAACACCGTAGTTTGTTAAAGAGTTATAAATAACTAAAATTACGTGTTCAACATTAAATTCTGAAAGAGAACAAGAAATACCATTTTTAGTTCCCTTAGGAAATCCTTTCGGATACCTCCTACCTGACGACCGGTGTGATGATTATGTCGGACTCGAATCGACTAAAAATAGCACGCCGCCTCGGTTATTAGTAGCGAGGGAACCAGGTGTAACCTAGAAAGAAAATCCCTGGTTGATCGACGTGCCTCGGGCTATCTACAGCTAATAGATGGCATCCTTGTGTGTGGAGACCACGGTGTCTCCTTCCTGCCTCTCGCGCTTGCGCTCTGGTGCGCGTGGCGCCGCCACCCCGGCCTGCTTCTGCTAGAATGACTGATACTGAGGTCCTCGACAAGCCTCCTCGGCCTCTAAAGGCCGGCTTCGAAGAGTGGATAACGGAGACGGACCAGGAGAGGTTTAGAACTCTCCCGGTCCCACGCCGCCCTCTCCTTCATGAGCATAACTTGCTCGCAGAAATAGGTGCCACAGACCCACGCGCACTCGCTCCGTACCATGGCTGCAATCATATTACCGAGCGGGAGAATGCCGCAAGAAATACCCAAAAATATGTATATCTATTGTGTATTTGTAAAAGTAATATGTCAATTGCAGCTTAATTGGATCAATCCTGACAATAGCCAACGTGTCTGGTTCTGGCAAAGACATCGGTCAGGGGTACGTAAACTTCATGAGGAACTCTATGGACCAAATCAGATCGAAGGTATGTCAATAATCCAGTATTTGCTGTTTTTAATTTCTTGTAAATTAATGTGTGAAATTTAAAATTTGAAACACTTCCTACATCAGTATCAACCCAAGATTTAGCTGCAGCATTAAGTCAAGGTTACCGTGTTGTAAATATCACTAAAGTAACAGTACACCTTTCAAATCGATCGGAGTTGTGTAAGTTAGTGAGATCCTGCATTAACTACGTTGGCCGTGGCCACGAAACTCGTGGGAGAGACAATATGGTTAAAATGACTGTGCACTGTACATCAGAGACTTGAGGTGGGGGTTACCTCTTGTAATAGCTGTGCTAGGACTGAGATAATGATGATAGCATTATTTACAGTCCTGAAATCTATGACAGAACGTAGGAGCTTAGGCTTAGCAACCTGCATTACATCATGATGCTCAATAAATTGTGTTAGGTATGATTTAGGCAAGCTTAAAGGCAAAGGGAGGGACCCCAAGGGCAGCACTTGTGACTTTTGAGTTGCAGGTGTCCATGGGCGGCGGTGCTTACCATCAGGTGATCCGTCTGCTCGTTTGTCCCCTTATACCATAAAATATATAAATATATCAAATAAGACAGAATCATCTGAAAATTTTCTGGTTATCATAGAATTACATAACGAAGGAAATTAATGAAATGGTTGGATCACCTAGCATACTCAGATCAGGATGCAATGTGATGAATGATAACAGAATTTCTGGTACAACAAAATCTACCACCACAAAATCCAATCAAGTTCTTACACGACAGGTGGAAGTTTCTTGAAGAACTCCAATTTCTTGTGCTTTTTATTAACACTGATCATCCTCCAGGTGACAGATGAGCTGTGGATCCTGCAACTGTTCGAGCACTGGTACGGTATCCAGGTGGGGCTCATTGGTACGTGGCTTGCTGAGAGACCTGCGCTACACCCACAACAAGTCGCTTGTCTCTCCATCATTCTGAAGGTAAGAGGGAGAACAAAGGCTCGTGACTGTTTATCAAACTATTCATTTCATTTCTTCTTTATTGTACACACTAACTATATATTTTATGTATATAAGCGACAAATAAAGGTTATGTACAAAAGCTAGCTTACCAAACATCTGAGTATTCTTCCAGTGAACCTTTAGTGAATAGCAGATAAACGTAAGAAGGGCAGAGTCGTGCGTACTTAGGAATTAGTAGAGAAAAGTATATAATTCATACAAATATCGATATTAATTTGTATAGCAATATTGCTAGGCTCGTATCAAATATTTTTAGGTAGAGGGGGTAACACAGCAGACAGAGGAGGTGAGCGCTGACCCGTCACAAGGAATACTCCCTAAACCTACACCTGGGTCGCAGTCGAAGTCGCATGTGTTGCCCCATCTTACACGCGATGGAACCGGTACCCGCACGGTGAATCCATGGAACGCTAAGAAATAGGTCATAAAACATGTATTGCCAGCCTGATTATTATAGGGACAGATAATAACCTCTGGTTCTGTTCCTGATCACATTCAGAGATGGAGGATTGCGTATTGCATGTGTAAGTGATCCCCTAGCCCAACAACCGCAACTTTGAAGGAATTGTCGTAATAACTTGACGTATGGGAAGGAGTTCGAAGGGAAGAAGAGCGAAAGCGCTTGTTCCTGGGAAAGTGCTTGGAGCACTCGTGAAGGTGTGGAGGAAAATTAGGGTTGTATAAAGTTGAACAGAGTAAGGAAAGAATGTAGAGAGCCAGACGTCGTAAAATAAATAACCAATTCAGTTGTTTGTGAAATTCCGAAACATGATTGAACTTTTTCAAGCTAAATATGAAGCAGATACAAAAATTTTGAAGGACTTTGAAAGAAGAAAGAAGGACTTTGATCTAAAAAGGGAGAGAGAGAGAGAGAGATAAGTACTGCACCTGGACCTACAGACTTTGCCCGTTTTCAACATATACTTTATCAAAAATACAACTTCGCTGTGTTGGTGCTAAATATATTATTTTCAGTTTCTAAAAGACGTTTCTGAATAGATTATAGGCACTATTAATGTATAACTATGTTATAAATATCCTTTCCGCATTCCAAACTACATAATACAGACTGTTCTGCATCGAAATTCCTCATTGTCATCAATAGATCATCGACTGCACGGATGGCACGTAGTGGTTTAAGCGGTTCCCTCACCGCTTCCTACTGCGCTGAGTTGTGGATTCGATCCCCACATGGGACGACACTTTGTGTGATCCACGAATTCTTGTTCTCAGTCTGGGTGTTCTTTGTGTCCGTTTCATGTATGTTTGTAAAGTCACCCGGGATATATTCCTAATGCGGGGGTTGTCTTTAAAAAAAAATATATGTTTTGTCTGGGTGTAATTTATCTATAATATGTATGTATTTAGAAATATATAAGTATGTTTATCAGCAGTCTAATTACCATAGTACAGGTTCTGCCTAGTTCGGGATCAGACGGTCGTGTGTGAGATGTGTGAAGATATTATTTTTGTTATTAATTAAGGGGTTTAAGCAATCAATTTTTCTCTATTTTAGAAAATGTACAGCGACTTCGAGCTTCAGGGCGTGATCGACGACAAGCTTAACTCGAAGGTGTACCAGAGCGTGGCGGCTAGGATGCACACTGAGGAAGCCACCTGCAGCCTGCTACTCTCGCAGCAAGACGCTAGGTGATTAAATTGACTTCTTTTCCGACGACCATTTATTTGACACTTTGTAAATAATAATATTTTGACCCATATCGAATAATTAGAATAAGGCGGACTTAATGCCGTAGGCAACTTTCGGTTGATCCAAAGACGTAGCTAGCGTGTATGAGCTGTATGAGTTGTAGTCGCCTATAGCCTAAACCTCAATAGAAATTTTATTATATCATCTATTTATAGTTTATAATATTACACGAATTGTTCACCTTAGTTAACAGTTTTTTCGTTGCTGTTCTCCGATCGAGTAAGGTTACCAGAGCCCCCTGATTCCCAGAGTCGAAGGGAACTCACACAAAAGGCGGCAACTCACTTGTGACTCTTGAGTTGCTCCAGAGTTGATCCAATCGTTTGTACTCATGACTTCAGGACCTGAAATAATATGGTCCGGGTCCTTCCAGGGTAGGACATCTTAGGCCAGCCGTCGGGGTGGTTTTAAGTGGAATCATGTGGTGATACCACTAAGCTCCTGGCTCCTCAGTATCAAAATAATTGTTTGGTGAACATGATCATTTGTTCTGTGTTTTGGTGTAATTAGTGTAAAATACGTATGTATCTAGAAATATCTTTAGTATTTTATCAACAGTTTAATTACTATGGCACAGGCTCTGCCTAGTTTAGGATCAGATCAGCAGTCCACTGCTGGACATAGGCCTCTCCCATTGCACGCCACTTCGATCGATTTTCGGGTTCTCGCATCCAACTCCTGCCAGCCATCTTACGCAATTCATCACTTCACCTGGCCTGTGGGCGGCCTACACTTATCTAGACGCGGTCTCAACTGAAGAACTCGTTTACCCTACCGGTTGTCGTTTCTGCTGCTAAGCTAGGCCCATTGCCACTTGAGCTTACTAATCCGGTGGGCTATGTCGATGACTTTGGTTCTCTGCCGGATCACCTCATTCCGGATGTGATACCTTAGAGAAACGCCGAGAAAAGCCCGCCGTGGCTTATGTTGCTTCAACATGAAGGTTTTGCCCGTAATCGCCGCGCTGGACAGGCGGGCTGGCGATCGCAACTAACGTAACTGGCGTAACTTGTCGCACGGTTGACGCTGCTGCCCGTCACCGGCCTGTTACACTTAGCTACGCCTATTGGGATAGACATACCGCCATCGGTCTATCGCCACGGCCTCGTTCGTCATTCAGCAGGATGTACCGCGTGCAGGTGAGGTTGGCTTGGCGCGAAAGATGGTGGTTCGCCCCCTCACATCCCATCTCACGCGTGTCAAATGTGTCAAATTATTATTATTGACTGTTTTTAATTTTTAGCATTATATAGACTATACAGGGTAAAGCTTGAAAATGTCTACAATTATCATTGTATCTATTACTTATTTAATTTATATACCCATGGGTTTAGTGGTGGTGACGACGGTGGGAGTGAGGAGGGCTCGCGGAGTGGGAAGTCCAAACTGGAGTCACTCACGGAGGATGCGAAGCTTGGCAATGTTACTGCTGTTGTTGGGAAGGTAATTACTTTTTACAAAATAGTTAAAAATTAGTACCTACATAATGTATGTATTTTGTATGTATTTTTGTGTATATATTTTTTTAGACATTTAGTCATGGAAAATTGATCTGTAAAGTAAATCTTAGACACTCCTTACTAAGGTAAATTCTTAGGAACAGATTAATCAGGTTTCTGCATGAGTTTACATCATCATTGTCATCAACAACCTTTAATAGTCCACTGTTGGATATAGGCCTCTCCTTAGAAAGGAGGGTTTGGTCGACTATACCACGCTGGCCGACGGGTTGGTATAGGGTTTGTTTCAAGTTTTCCTTCTCTTTGCAATCCATTTGTCCTGCGTAGTTTGCTCCCTTAGTCGGCTCTTACGACACCCACGGGATAAATATGGGTGGTGACACTCCGTATTCTTAATCGGTCATCACAAGGACATGAGTGTACATTATGAACAAAATAGCCTGTATTGTATGGTGTTTGTAATAGCCAAACACCATACAGCAAAAATACATACATTATGTAGGTACTTTTAAAATAATTATATTATCTAAGCGTACGGGCGCAGAACGGTGAAGTGAACTCCGAGTCATATCGACGGGTAGTTTATTAATTAATCGCGATACTATGTATCGTGTTGTTCTCTCACCGAACACGTTAACAGCGCGTGCCGTTTTCACCCTGTTTAGTGAGACTGCTCGTGTACATACAGGGTGTTCTACTTTATCACCCAAGCTGTAATTAAAATACTTTTCTTTCAACAAACTATATTTTATTTTTATGTGAATGGATAGAACTTTACAGTGTTTAAAAAGACAAAGCTCATTGTTAGTGTATTGTAAATTAATCGGTGGAAATGTTATTGTCTTTAATTAAAATAATCATATTAATAACTTTTTTACATTTAATGTGTTTCCTGAAAGTATTAATCAAATTATTGATAAAATTACCTCCAAAATTCAGTTCCGATCTTCTCTCGATCTCACAAATGTCATAAAAAAATTGTTCTTGTAGTAAAGTATTAAACTTCCAAACAACGTTGACTGTAATGTGATTATTTCGTATTGTGACCGAAAGGTAAATCGGTATTCTGCTAGTCTTACTACTTCACTTCGAGAATACCTTTTTTTTTTTTTTTTTTTTCAAATTTTTTTTTTATTTATTCAAGGTAAATTGTACGGAAAATAGAGATAAAATGGGCGCTCATTTTTTTAGCTATAACAACCTGTTACGACATTTGTGAGATCGATAGTAAATTGGAACTGAATTATGTACGAATTTTTATTATGAGAATTGAATTTCTAATGTTTAAAACATCATTGCCACACTATAAACAATATTTAAAAAAGAAACGAACCACGCATTTTCACGTTCAACACACCGAGAGTTCATTCCTCTGAAAATATTTTCATCATCGAGGCCGACTTGTATTATACAAGCGATCGCATTCTATCAAGATATTAATAGTTTTATTGAAATAATTCGCATTATTGAAATAAAAGTTATCTATACATTAGCATACGTTCACTAATCATCATCATCATCATCAACAGCCTATACTAGTCCACTGCTGGACATAGGCCTCTCCTTAGAAAGGAGGTTTTGGCCTACTATACCACGCTGGCCAGACGGGTTGGTATAGGGTTTGTTTCAAGTTTTCCTTCTCTTTGCAGTTCTGTTGTCCTGCTTAGTTTGCTCCCTTAGTCGGCTCTTACGACACCCACGGGATGAATTGGGGTGGTGACAATTTGTATTCTTAATCCGTCACCACACGGACAGTCACTAATCATCATTATCATCAATTTACTTGATACAGGCTTACCTGATGAAGACAGCAACGGTAAACATAATTTTTAATTCTTATGCTCTCGGGAAATTGTATGTCACTAAATTAAATCATCTCGTCATAGTCCTAAAATAGTATTTATTGAGTTTTACAGCGCAGCCATTTCATATACAAAATTGTTAGTTTTTTTTGACATAACTTTTTTAATTCTAAATCTGTAATTATGAAAATTGGCATTCAAGTGGTATATATATAATAGGGTTTGTTTTGCTTCATTTTGCTTTGAGCGCGTTTCAAATCCGTCAGCTTACCGACTGAATAATTTAAAATCTAAAATACATATAATTTTTTCTTGAATGTAGTAATAATATTTAGACAATGTAGTCTCCAAATATGGTAAAAACTGAATTTCGTATTATTTTCAAAACACACATTATTCTACAATCATGGCGATCTGTTTGTTATAACATTTAGGAATAATAAATTATTTATGTATATTTATCATCTTCCTTCCCTCTTCCAAATAGGGTCTGTCAACTGTCAATCCAATCCAATCCAGTCCAATCAGTATCTTTTGGAACGAAGTTCCTTATCGCGCGTTGTGAAAGGGGGCTAGACGGAAAAAATTCATACGAAAATTGGTCACGACACTTTTTATTTTGAATTGTCACTTGTCAGTCATTCAGCGTCATCTATCGAATAGTAAAATTAAAATTTATGTTCTTAGGTTGAGCAAAAAATATTGTATTCGACATCATTTCTCAAGGAGATTTTACCAATGTATAAATTGTTTTAATTAAAAACCAACTGAAAAATATGTAGGTAATAGCCGCTTTCATAGATGGCGTTGTAATTAAAATCGTGTCTAATCAGTTTTACTCGATCGTAACAACTTCGTTCCTATCGGGTGTCCCACGACACCACACGGCTTTTTTTATACGCTTTATATTAGCTTCACTTGTATGTTTGTTTGTAAGTTTGTAACCGACTCCTTTGGACGTGATTTTAACTGACTTTAAACTTTGTAGATAAATCGAGGACTGATGACAATACACTAATTTAAAAAAAATGTTTTAAAAAACTAAAAAACACGCTTTCTATAGAAAACCAAAGTAAAAATAGAAAATAAATTTGAAAAAAGCGTGGGGTGCTTTTTACTATTGACAACAGGCACCCAACTCTTTTTTTTTCAAATTTATATTAAAAGTCAAAACGATAGACGCGGTATATTTTTGTGTTACATACTATAGCGTGACATCATACCTAGCTACTGTCGATTCATTCATATTTAATACTAGCTGAGACCCACGGTGTCACCCGCGTTTGTTGTTATAACCGCGGGCAAAGCCGCGGGGTGAAGCTAATCTAAAAAAAGTAGCCTAAGTTACTCCTTATGTCATCAGCTATCTGCCAGTGAAAGTCCCGTCGAAATCGGTCCAGCTGTTCCCGAGATTACCCGGAACAAACAGACAGACAGACAAAAATTGTAAAAAATGTTATTTTGGCATATGTACCGTGTAAACATACATATGCATTTAGTAAAAAGCGGTTATTTTAATATTACAAACAGACACTCCAATTTTATTTATTTGTATAGATGGTTTGGAGATATCAAATTCAAATTATTTTTGCTTTAAATGGGGTAGTAAAAAATATCGTATTACAAGTTTGATATAAATCGAGCAGGCCCATTTAACAATGAAAATGGCATGCAAAATTAAATATAATATAAATGGGTATATTTTATTATTATTATTGTAATTTCTGATCAGGTCAACCATGAATCAATTAGGTATAGTGGGCATTTTGTTCCATTTATTATTGTGACGATACCTACCTTATTTGTAAGAAATCCATATTTCAAAACAATATCAAAAATTGATAATAGATGGTGTATGATTTCAGCGAAATAATTTATTTTAAATCTAGGAATCTTAGCTGTTCTGTAATTTGATCGGAACAACGTGTTACATTCCAAAGGATTTTGGCTGGCTTCTTTTATAGTTGGCCGCCTGTTTGCTGCCAATGCTACCGACAATGTTAATCGTTTCTAGACGAGACGAAGTAAGAAGGCAAAACGGTACAAGGAAAACGAATAAAAGTTAGGTAAGTAGGACACGGAGAAAGGTCAAAGGACACTGCAATTGCACTGCGGAACTGAAAGTGTTGCGTTTTGAGAGCGTGTTGGAGATGCCACTGAATCAGGGACATCATCTGGCCAAAAAGAAATTCAAGGTTGCATGAAATTAAAGTCGAATTTCCCTAAAACATTTTTATTATATTTTCCAGGTTGGCAACATCTTCGGACGTGGTTTCGGAGAACTATCGACGAAGCTTGGAGGTGGCTCCTGGTTTTAGCGCGTCACTTTATACAATATGTCGTAAATGTACGTTTCTTTGCCTAACAATGTGAGATAACAGACTTCTTTTTGTTAATGTATTACGGTCACGAAGTTACGTAACAGTTCAAGAGGTAAAGGCGTACATGTAAATGAACGGGGATGCGGAGGGAAATGAACTACCAGTATAGTTATCATGGAATTTTGCCTTCTAATAATATATTTATAAATTAGGTATTGGAGTAAACAACCTTTCGACGTTTTCACCATGTTGCATAGTAATACATTAACAAAACGACTCAACTATTCTGTGATGATGAAGTACACCTTCTTTTGCATTCGATAAATAGAATGTCCGCCATTTTGAATTATATAAAATTAAACAAAATGGCGTCTTAAGCGCTAGTAATTAAGAATAAGTGGCCAGTTAATGCATAGCTTAGTGTGATTATAGTATAAACTATATTTAAATTTTGTTTTATAAAGGCTTTATGTACAGTTAGGGAATCATAATTCGTTTATTGGAAGGACATAAAATGTAATACGTGTGTATATTAAGAGTAGTATTTGATAAACACGATTCTAAAAGTATTTACTGTATTAATACGAACGCATACTTACACAAAATGCTACAATAAGGAAACATATCGCTTTGGCAAAAGTTATATTATGTTATATTAAACGCGATGTATTGTAATTATTTACAAAAATATATAATTAAAAATGATTAAAAGAAGGGGGGTGGGTTGTGAGAGTGTGAAAGTAAGGAATCCTTTTTCAACTTATAAAAGTTACGTTTTTTATATCTTTTAAAATTGTTACTATCTTCTACGTGATTCTAATACTTAGATTGTTTCCTTCTAAATATATCTTGTACGTTATTCACAGTCTATTCTATTTCCGAGTGACAAACACGTTAACATTAAAACAGAGCAAAGTTTTCAATGCAACTCTTTCTATACCTAAGAAACAGTATTTTTCTAATTATAAAAATCCACTTTTTGAAGCATCACGATCGGTTTAAAACTTGTGATTATATCAACAATGCATTTTTATAAAAATACAAAACAGCGCGACACATTTTATTTATTTTTCGAACATGAATATTGCCAGTAATAAATAATAACTCCCGCTTTTTGGGTAAATTTTTATAAGAATGCATCTTACATTTACAAGTTAGTCACTTTTCGCTGTAGCATAATTCTCTATATTTTAAAGCTCTCTAGATTCTAATGACAATCTATTGACACTTTTACCTTGATTAGTCATCAAATAATACATAAATATTTATAAAATATACTAATAATAATTATATTTGTTAACAAATAATATTCTTCTACGCTAAACACCTTACAAATTTTTGAACTAGGAGAAAATTTAAAAGTTCTTAGATAAAAGTTTAATTATCAATATAGCGATTAGTCGCTATGCTAATACGCCTTAAAAATGTCTTGTTGGGTACGGCTTGAGGAACAGACAGCTTGCATTATTTTATCACTTGTATTAATTTAATTTCATTATTTATTATAAGTTCATTCATTAATCACGATTACGCTTTGAAGCTTTCAAAATTATATCACTTCATTGATAAGAATATTCACGGTGTGTTCGTCTGAATCAGATTTTTAGGACGGCTATTAGTGATAAAAAAATAACCGCAGTTTGAATAGATATTGTGAAATTCCTGCGGATATAAAAAGTTCAGCACTATATAACATGGTAACGGTAGATACTTCAAGTATTTAATTAATAACGAGCAAGTAGGACTGTATTGGCACATAATATAAAGAAGTAGTGCTCTATATTGAATAGAAGAAAAAATAAATATAAATATAATAATCATGTTACACCCACAACATTATTTTAAGTATTCCAAACGTTTGAAATATTGCTAAAAATCAATTGAACAAACCAAACCAGAGTCTATAAGAGATTTGAATAACTAAGTCTGGCTTTCTTTAGCAAGTTGATAGTGAAGTTACTTGGTAGCCTTTAGGCACCGTGTGAATTGTATTTAGGAATGAATGTGGCCAGCATTCGTTCTTAAGAAAATATACCTTAAAATTTTTGTTGTTGTAAAGCAGGACACAACGTGATATCAAGTATTGTTATTACTCCACGAGTTTCAGACAAACTGACTTTTTGACAATAAATTGGCAACTCCGTGTTCTATATTCGTATTAAAAATTTAAAAAAAGTAATCGAATGAGGTTTAATAGCAATTTAATGGTGTTTCAGTTTAATGGTAACACTTAAAATAATGTTGTGTGTGCATCATATTTTGTAAGTCATGGTATATTTAGTTATTCTCTTATTAATTTGTGCTTAGAGCAATTTAACATTCTTCAAAAGCATATTACCGGTACTGTACGTACTACTATTACGTTGGTAAATAAAAGTATCGGTTCTATCCTTCTTATGAAACCTTAACCTTAAAGAAAAACATTATGTATTCGGCAACTGTTGATTATTTTGTATTTCTTTCATTAAGTTGGATAATGAGCTCAGTAGAATGAAAATGACAAGTGTATAGATTTATATCAACTAGATAGGAAAAGTCATAGGTGCAATAAAAAAAAGAGATAGCAGCGGTTTTAATTTACTGCTAGTAATATGTTTTATGTCACTGTGGGCGTAGAGGTGAAACATGCGTTAAAAATATATCAACACATACAATTTAGTTACTACATCTATTTGTTCATGGAAAAACCCAATATTTTCTTAGTAGCCCTTTCCTCGTTATAAATTTATGTTTTAAAACCGATTTAAAAAAGAACAGAGGTACTCAATTTAAAAAAAGAAATTGTATTTATTTTCAACCACTGATGTAAACTTATTTGATATAGAAAATAAAATCGTCAACTATGTTAAACCAATGCTACTTGCGGTGGTTTCATTCTGAAACAGTTCTACTTTTATTATATAATCTTGTACATTTACAAAAGAAATATGGTTGAAAATTTACCGAATGAGGCTAAGCTTTCTTATAGTCGTAAATATTTACGTCATCTTTACGTAAACATGGTAAAAGTACACATTCCACTCTATTAGTAATTGTAGTGGCACCTCGAGTGGCTTTTCTGATCTAGTAATTAAGTCTAAGTGCAGAGCCGACTGAGATGTAACTGCGTAGTGTAACATGCTTGTATGATTTCGCTATATTAAAACTCGCAAAGGTCTTATTAAAAACACTAATAATCGTGCCTATTTTAATCTATTAAACTATAGCTAACATAGTTTGGTATTGAACACCATTGCGAGTTTGAACGAAAGCTTTGAAAGCCATGAATGCATCGCGAGTGTAAGGGGATACAATAAAAAATATTTACAATAAAAATGTTTACTGTTCCTTTGTTTTTTTATTTGATTATAAAAGTTTAAGTTTGAGATCTACCTTAATACACAACATAAATTGGTTGCAGAAAAAAGCAAAGTAAATTGTTGAGTTCAAAATCAAATGTGGTGGAACGGGTATCGTGTCCCTCCAACACAAAGGGATGATCCTACGACCAGAGGGCCTCAATTCTGCTATTTGAATATTGTATCAATAGACTTTCGATGGAATGTCGTCGGATTAGTTCTGCACTTTTCGTATTCTACTAACTAAGACCAGTGGCCTCACAATGACTTGACTGAGGGCACTGATACAAATGTTGTTGATATCTTTGTAACAGTTTGGTAAACGGTACAATTTAAATTTGTAAGAAAATGAAATATTAAATTTTCCAGGTATAGCAATATTGTTGATATCATCATTGGACTCGCCGGTGCCACCTCGTGTCATTAGGTCGTGTATTTAACGCTGCTGTACATAGTAAAATAATAAAATCTGCGATAAGCGTGCTCCCGACCGATAGGGCCGGGGCGCCGCTCGTGCGCGATGAGTGATCGCTCTAATGCTATCGAGGATAGGGTCGAATATCAAATGACGCGTGTCAACAGTACTAACCTTGTGAATGAAACGGAGGACAGAATGGAATGCAGTGACCGAATACAAGCAAATGAGGAGGTAGAAGAAAGCAGATTAAACAAGAGGACAAGAGAGGATAACTCATCAGAGGAATGGAATACAGTTTATAGAAGGAATAAAGTGGTTCGTAGGGACAGTCAGGAAGTGCAAGATAAATTTCAAGTGTCTGTTACACACAATACAGCTTTGCCTAAACAATTCGCACTCGCCCGATTGTTTACAAAAAATAATATAAAAGGAATTGAGCGCATCAAATACGTTCACCAAAATAAAATTTTAATAACTTTTGAATGCGCAACTGATGCTGACGATTTTATTGGGTGCAAAGAGTTTACGGAGTTAGGATGGAGAAGCCAAAAAACTTCGAAGGTTGGAATCTCTTACGGAATTATTAAAAATGTGGAGTTAGATCTTTCAGAGGCAGATATCTTAAAATGTTTATCGAGTGATTATGATATTGTATCGGTTAAAAGACTAAACAAACGGAATAATATTGAGCCGAGTTCTACGAGTGCCACTAATCACAATTGGATTGAAAGCGAAACCATTCGCCTTGGCTTTAGAACCTCATCACTGCCTGGGTATGTCTATATTGAGCAGATGAGAGTGAAAGTAGAACCGTATATATTTCCAGTGACACAATGCTCACGCTGCTGGAAATTCGGGCATGCGTGGAGAATGTGTCCATCAAAAAAAGTTGTGTGTCCTAAATGTACAAAAGGCCACGAGAATTGCGACACTACATCCTACAAATGTGTCAACTGTACAGGAAATCACATGGCGTTGCAAAAATCCTGTCCTTTATTTAAGAAAGAGAGGAGGATCAGGGAGTTAATGTCTGAGTTTAATTGTACTTATAGGAAAGCGTTGTCGATATATGTCCCGCCTAGCCCGATTCCTAAACTAACTGGACCTAACAAGCTGTATGAAGAAGATAAAATACAATCACAACGAATCACAGTCTCGGAAAGTACACACGTGAATAACCAACACGATAGGCCAGAAAGCGAACGCCTATTTTCTCAACTATTTACTTCTATCGCGGATCAGCCTAATTCAACGCAATCACGCAGAAAGAAAAAGAGACAACGAGCGCCTACACCTTTACCACCTCCCCCATCTTCCAGTGCCGCAGATTGCAGGGAGACTAACTGGAATAAAGAGGCGTCGGGGTTTACAAGTTCTGACGACTGTCCTCGGGTTGAAAAAGAGACTCATAGTAAGACTTTCAATAACAAATTTGAAAATTTAAGTTTTTTACCACTTCTTGTACAGTTAAAAAATATTATATTTAGTAAGATTTCTTTAGAATACAAAATTAAACAAGTAGTTTCAATTTGCACAGACTGGATATTGTCAAAAATTTTGAGTTGTACTTCTGTTAGTTCACTTTTTAATAGCCTTGTTAATTATGGATAGTACTTGTGTCAATACAAATTTTGTAATAATGCAATGGAATTGTCAAAGTTTAAGGCCGAAATCCTTATCTCTCGAAACTCTTTTAATTCAAGAAAAGGTACACATTGCAGTCCTGAGTGAGACTTGGCTGGAGCGATTAAGTGCTTTTCGTATAAGTAATTACAACATATTTAGATCTGATAGATTTGATGGATATGGAGGGGTTGCTATATTAACACACAACACCATTCAGTGCACCACATGTTTAACTAATTGCACTAATCCGGACATAGAACTAATACATGTAAAAGTTTTTAACTGCCCACACATAGAAAACATAATTTCTGTATACTGCCCATCCACGGTACGTACAACACAAAACGATTGGGACTTTCTATTTTCTCTCTCTGATAGAAAAACGCTACTTCTTGGTGACTTTAACGCACATCACCCCAACTGGTCATGTCGTTCTGATCAGAGGGGTCACCAGATATACGATTGTATGATAGATCATAACTTTATTTATTTAAATAATGGTTGCGCTACGCGTACTAAATTAGTAAATGGTATTTTACAGCAATCATCACCAGATATCTCCTTCATTTCCGCAGACTTGGCGACCTTATTTACTTGGCAACCCACAAACGAAAATCTCGGCAGTGACCATTTGATAATTAAGCTATATGCTAGCATACACATCCCTAAAAAAATTAAAACAAAAAGAAATTTCAAAAATAGTAACTGGAAGGCATATTCGTCTTATATAGAAAACGCTTTATCGTCAATATCTGTCCCTTCACAACTTCAAGAATTTTACAATTTATTTGAAAAGATCGTACAAGAAGCAGCGAATTTATACATTCCTTTTAAAAAAATACCCCAACAAATAACCAGCAAATTTACACCTAAACCCTATTGGAACGCAGAGCTATCAAAAGCGGTAGCCGAGCGCCGCCTGGCCCTTGCCAACTTGCGACGATGTCCATCCCCTGGTAACTTAGTTATACTGCAAAACAAAATAAGAGATGCACAGCGTGCTATTCGGCTAGCCAGAGGGCAATCTTTTCAGGAATTTTGTTCATCCGTGGATGAAACATCTTCCTCAAGAATACTTTGGCGGAAAATGAAATGGATTAAAGGTCATACACACCATACATTACAACACATAAACAAAGAGAAAATAGAGAAGCTCTTAAACGATATCACCCCAGATTTTGTATGTCCACCTCAACCTAATATTCACTCGAAAAATAGTCATTTGGAGTCCCCTATTACTCTTCAAGAAATAAAAAAATCTATAAAACGTACCGACACTGCACCGGGTAGTGATGACGTGTCCTTTTCTATGATAGCAAACCTTCCACCTATAGGTAAATCCTTTTTATTAACCCTATATAATCAATTTCTCAATCATAGCTTTGTACCTCTTCAGTGGCGTAACGTACAAATTATACCTATTCCGAAGCCTGGTCGGGATATGTATTCAGATAGTGCATTACGCCCAATATCACTAATTTCTTGTTTTTGTAAAATTCTACACAGCATTTTAAATAAAAGATTGGAATGGTACTTTGAAAAAGGTCATATGTTCCCAGATAATATGGTAGGTTTTCGTAAATTTAGATCCTGTTTAGATAATCTGACACGGTTGGTTTCCTACATTCAAACTGGTTTTTCAAAAAATTTAATAACTGCTGCATGCTTCGTCGACATAGACAACGCATACAATAATGTAGACTTGGCATGTTTAATCAAAGTATTGGATAGCTATGGGGTTGGCTCTCGGATTTGCTTGTACCTTTGGGCGTATTTAAAAAATAGACGATTGCACGTTGACGTTGATGGTGTCGATATATCTAGAACCACCGGTCGTGGTTTAGCTCAGGGAGATCCACTTTCCCCGCTACTATTCAACATAGCAACCTCAAACATATGTAAAAAGATACAAAATGTTGAAATCTTGCAATACGCGGATGATTTTGTTTTATACAAATCAGATAAAAAGATAGGTAATGCAGCAGTACAATTACAAAATGCCTGCCTCGACCTGAGTTCATTGCTATCAAACTTAGGGCTTGTGATCTCACCGACTAAAAGTAAAATCTGCATATTTAGGAAAGGTTATTCCAGAGATACTATTGAATTCCAAATTGATAACTTCTCTCTTGCTACTGTCAACCAGGTGAAATATCTTGGTATGTGGTTGGATGGTTCATTAAGATGGAGAAAACATATTAATGAGACTGTCTTAAAGGTATCCAAGTTAGTAAATATATTAAAGGTACTAGTCGGACGGGGATGGGGTCTTCATCAAAAACATGTAAGACGTTTATATATATCTCTCATCCGAAGTAGATTGGACTATGGTAGTTTCTTATATGACAATAGTTGTAAAACGTACTTATATAAACTCGACAAAGTCCAGAACCAAGCGTTGCGGGTTATAGGAGGCTTTATCCGGAGTACTCCAATACACACAATGGAGAGTGAATTACACTTACCACCACTTCAATATCGTCGGCAATACTTGGCTTGTAAATTCGGGTTAAAAGCTAAAACGTTTAATAATAATAAGACAATTACCGGTGTGCAGGAACTATCGGAGAGTACACATTCTTCTTATTGGACCAACAAACGACGTCCCTTACTCACATCTATTTTCCAATCCTTAGATTCGATGGTGCTACATTCGTGTAACCAGTTAGAGATGTATTCATTGCAAACATGGGTCAGCAGTATAGATTTATTGCGGGTGGTTTGTGATTCCATCCCATCAGTCAATAAAGGTAAACATTTGTATAAACCTTGTGACCTGCGAAACACTTGTGTCAATTTTGTAGATCAACGATACGACAGATATCATAAGATTTATACAGATGGATCCAAGGACGGACGAGTTGGTGGTGCTGCATTTTTCGACCCATTCAACGACTGCGGCATCAAAATTAGGATTGATTCCAATATTTCTATAATGCACATTGAGTTAATCGCTATAGCAGAAGCCTTATCATACGTTCAATCTATTAAGTATGATAAATTCGTGATTCTGACTGATTCTAAAAGCTCCTTGCAACATTTGGCTCGATGTACCTCGCACATGCGAGGTAATCCGATAGCCTATCAAATATTGGAGTCAATCCTAAATTTTCAATCACTAAGTAGGAAAATTGTTCTGCAATGGATTCCCTCACATGTTGGTATTGGGGAGAGTGATATTGTGGACCAATTAGCAAAAGAGGCATGTTGGAATGGCATTGCATTAGAAGTATTGCCTTTACATACTGACTACACCAGAGTCGTAAAAGAGAAATGTCATATGTGTTGGCAGGAATATTTTGATGAGAGATCGAGAGAGAAGGGTATTTGGTACCGTACAATACAGCCGCAAGTGCCTAAATACCCATGGATCGAAAACGTGGAACTTAATAGAAAAGCTTTGGTAACTGCCTTAAGGTTGAGAACAGGTCATATAGCTTCTAAGAAATTCGCATTTTTAATGGGAAAAGTCTCATCTCCCAACTGTGAGGACTGCTGTGTAACCGATGATATATTACACATTATTTTTGAATGTGTAAGGAACAGAACTTACAGGGAACATTTAGGGGTCTCGAGAGGTATGAATATCGGCCTTTGTAATAGTGTTCTGGCTAACCCTGTGTCGGTTGAAGCCCGGAAATTATATAAATTGGTAGAGATGTGTCTATGTTAGATGTTAACTAATAAATTCGTACTGTCACAGGGCGATGTGGTCGCACAGCGACAAAGCCCTTTAAATTAAAAAAAAAAAAAAAAAAAAAAAAAAATCATCATTGATGACCTATATTACTATATCGACAGTCTATTCATCAACCTTTAATAGTCCACTGCTCGACATATGCCTCTCCTTAGAAAGGAGGATTTGGCCTCCTATAAAACGCTGGCTAAACGGGTTTGTGTCAAGTTTGCCTTCTTTTTGCAGTGCTGTTGTCCTGCGTAATTTGCTCCTTTAGTCGGCTCTTACGACACCCACGGGATGAATAGGGGTGGTGACGCTCCGTATTTTTAATACGTCACCACACGGAATCCGTCACCACACGGAAACAGTCTATTGAAACTGTTACTTATGTTAGTAGAATACTGATATTATGACCGATGTCAATAGCGTCTTAATGGCATCGCAATAGTGTATCAATAGAATGGCAGTGGCTTGGCGTTAACATAAAATAGCAGAATTGAGGCCTCGCCTAGGTGATCAGCCTGGCGGGCCGCAGACCAACGGTTGATGTGGGGAAGTTGTTTATATACTAAACGGTGGGAGAATTCTTCATATCGCGATAAAATATTACCAATTCAGAAGTTACTCCGTAGCTCGGTATGTCTTCGTTAGATGGCGCTGTAGTATGTTTCTGTTTCCTTGTATGTGGGATTCGCCACACATAATTTTTAAAGTTTGGCGTTTATCATTTTAAAATTTGGCGCTCCAGGCATAATAAAATCGCTGCCACAATAATATTACAAAAAAGAAAAGTTTTTTTGGAAGCGGTATAGGGGTAAACACTGATGGTAAGTAACTATCGCCGTCAATCCTGTATCACACCTGGATTTCAAAAGTTACAAGTGCGTTGCCGGGCCTTGAAGTGCAAGTACCCTCTTTTCTTAGAGGTTTGAATATAATAATCTGTGCACATAGTATGAATAATTAAATCAACTGTAAAATAAAAATCTCTGTGGCTCATTAGTAGCGATGTTTACGACACTGTAATGTGAACAAAAATTACAAATCAATAAGATAAGAACATATTTTCACTACGAAAAGTATGGCTTAGTATAAATTAAATTTACATGATGATCCGATTTTTCTAACTCAAGTAAATCCCGTTACGAGCTGGGCCGGATTAACCATATAGGTGTGATTACCGGTAGGTGAATTCTCGATAAAAGAAATCACTTGTTGTACAAAAAATTAAGTTTAGTACTTGTTCTACAGTTCTGTCACACACTATACTAAAACAATGAGCACAAGCGTTAAACTTAAGCAGAATAGTTGGGAAGGATAGGAATTTATACAGACTGAAAAACGCATGCGGGTATTTCCCATCAATACCGGTCTCAAACTGAAAATACGCCCGCACCGTGCTGCTGCTGATGCACTGGGTAATGCGAACTCCGTAGCCACTGTATGTAAGCGGCAATAGGTTTTGCATGCGTCGACTGTGTTGTGCACTTGGCTCCGCTTGTTGATTTTTTACTATTTTAATATTATAATAATATTAATAATAATTATTATTTATTTGCAGTGCTGTGGGGACAGCTAGTTTATCAACTCAATTGGTTACTTCATCCATTAGTTAAAGTAGACAACTGCCTAGGGGCCCCGCATTAGTTAGGGACCCCGTGCGAGCACAGAAGAAAAAAGAAGAAAATGTTGCATTCAGTGAAAGCTTATGGAAATATTTCACCGAATGTCGTATTGGTTTGTGTAGCGTACTGCTATCCCAAAGGTCGCGGTTTCGATTCCCGCTCAAGTCAAACATTTGTGTGCATGAACATTTAATGTTTGATTTGGTCTGGGTGTATACACAATAAGTATGTATTTACAAAAAAAAAGGATGTATGTATTTATATCAGTTGTCTAGTACCCATAGTACTAGATGGCGGTGTGTGCATGTGGTTAAAAAAAAATAGGTATTATTGGTGATGAAATAATTCATACTTAGAGAACATAGGTCTGCCATCCGTCCGGGTTCCCTCGCATTTGTCCTAGTTTGGAAGACGTCCGGGGAGCGTTTGGGCGTACGGAGTAAAATATATTTTAATTAAGATGTAAGTGAATGAAAAAAGTATTGAAATGTCCGGGGTGAAAGCTCCAAAATCCGGGGAACTAACGCTTTTAGTCCTGGGGTGCAAGTTTTGGGGATGGCAGCTCTAAAAGAACAGAACTATCTAGTATCCGGTAAATATCTTTTGTACCACATTTTATACAAATAAACTTATTATTATAACAAAAAATTTGAAATGCTTTCGTTCGGTATTCGTTTTTTAGGTAGTATTTATATAACTATATATGTAATATTAGGCAAGATCAGACAATCATTTTTGTCTTCAACGATTTACGAGGAATTTAATAAAATATTGTGAAGTAAGGTTTTAAAATTAATTGTTAATGAATTTTTTAAGACAAATATTTCTCGATAAGCTTCGATTCGATACCAGACATATCTCATACTGACTGCAGTGCTCAGATTCGTTACATAATAGAACGTTTTTTCACAATTTTATTTCTATAGTAAGTCACAAAAGGGAAGTACTTGCCGTTACAATTTTAAATTTCTTAAATCAATAAAACATTGGTATAAGAATACGAGAAGACAGACTTACAATAATTGGCCAAATATATCTTATTGTTACAATGGTCTATGGGCCCATATTAATAAGAATATAAATAATGTTATGAGCCATGCACTCACTGAATTCGGTTAGAATACGTGCTACGGAGAGATGCGTTGGAGCAATCTCATTCCTCGAATTTGTACTGGCACTATACAATTTTTTTGGCGTCAACTCATCGCGGAGCAATTATGCAGAAACTTCTCGAAAAAGGTCTAGTACTGAAAAAAGTGTCCTACACCAGATGGCGTACAAGAGCCGATGCTACTAAGGTTTTGTCAGTAGATTACGAGATTTGCCAGAAAGCTTTGCAGTCTATTGCTTATGATGAGACTTAGACATCGCAAGCGATTCATGAGGTTCGATGTCTATGAAAGGATTCGGCAAACAAAAACATGCCGTATACTGGATCGAATGAAACCAACCTGAACTTCGAATTTCAGTTGATCTTTTAAAATCGTTAGATCATTTTGGTACCACAGGGAGAATAATTTGACTATTACGAGATGAAAGCAAATGAAGGAACTGATACCGAATACACCGATACTGAAAATTAGAGTGTATAAACCAAAAGGCATCATGATGTCGGATCTGCAGAAGAAGTTGTGACCAGATTAGATTAAAGATTTATCGCAGCGACTAGAAGCTTATCGGGTAATTAATTTTCTATTTGGATTTAAAACAGATTTCATGAAAAAAAGAAAATTACACCGTGAGACGGACTTATCTTTACTATACCTAATGACACCAGATCATCACTTATTTATAAACTATTCATGAAGACCTGCAGAAAAAGAATTTGCCAAATAAAAGAATTTTTGCTGTAAGTTCCTGAGGAGTTAAGTATCAGTCGGGTCATGCTGCTAATGGTATCACTCACATTCCTTCATCGACTTAAAAAGAGCTGTTAACCTGCAAACTGAGGAAAGGGGGCCCCGGTTATTGCATTGCCTTAGGGCCCCGATACGGTTAATCCGGCCCTGGTTACGAGCTATAGGTAGTCGTAAAAGTCATAAAAAAGCTGGCCGGTGTGAAATTACTAAAAAACATAATTATGAGGTGATACATCCATAAATATAACGTTATTTTTATAATCCATAATAAAATATCGGGAGTTTTATCTCTTTGTACCAGTTTCCTTGTGTTATTTACTAAAATAAAAGATTTAATGCATCAGTAGATTCAATAAACGGAAACATTCAAAACGTAATAGAACAATGTAGGAAACATAAACTTTCTGTTTAATAAACGAAAGGTACATTTCATATCAAATTTTGTTCAGTATAACAGTCGTTATGATTAAAAGATATTATTATCAAATTGACGCCACATAACACTTCGCGAATGCGATTACGACCGTTCTCAGCGGCAATGCGTGCCAACAGGCATTTTTAAATATTTAACCTATTTTTAGCCACCGCTAATAATAATTAGAAAAGGTAACGTGAACCTCTCAGCTGTCAAAGAATCCCGTGTGAAGTCTGGCCTGGGGATATCTTCTAGTAGAGGTTGGCAACATAAATTGATTTAATCCATACATTTTTAAAAGATTCAACATAAAATATATATATATGCATAGCAAAATGAGTTTTAAATGTATTTATTTACAGATTCTTAATGAGAATATAAATTACGTTTAATATAGAAAATAAAAAAAATTACATCTTGAAAAGGTTGGTAAAATAAACTCATATAGTAGCAACACTGAATCGCATATTGCTTGCTTTGCTTGACATTTCGAAGTGAAGTAGTGATCGCAGTGAACGTGCGTGTATTTTTTCTACGAAAATATTTATTTTTATGTAGTGATTGTGAAGAAACAGTAAGTTTTTGAATTAAACTTATTATTTTTCTTTATATTTTTACTAAATAACTATGTTAAAAACGTTTGGTTGCCGTACATATTGCTGCTGACACTTTATTCCCGGAAATGCCTTAGGGTTTTATTTTTAAAAAGAATAAAAGTGAAAATAAGACCTTTGTGGGTTGTATCATCTGTGCATTCCGATGTTATTACGTAGGGCGGGGTCGTGGAACCTTTGCTTATGGCGTTTCCCGCGAAATATATGTTTTAGTGAAATATGTGCGCGTAAATTGTTGTGTCTTAAAATAGACAAAATGATTGGCAAAGTATATGAGTCAATAGTAAATGTGTTAGTAGGTGATGGTCAGGTAAACTAAAATAAAATTTAGTTTTACCTTAGCCTAATTACTCTGGTCTCGTTATACAATACTTTTAAAATACTTTTTTCAAGTACAAGCCACCATTTTTGTTTTTTCGCGATAGTTTTTACATTCCTTAGAGAAAAGTATAGATATTTAATAAATTTGTGTTTCTCTTGA